TCGGGCTTGGGAAGGTGGAAGGGCGCTTCCCCCCGGGCTAAAGAAAGACGCCCTGCGCCCATGGTCCTCCCTCCTCCAGCCCAGCTTCCTTGCCTGTGCTGTGACATCGTTCCTGCGGGGAGGCTACGGGCGTAAACTGAGGCACTGCTGGGCCTCTCCTGTCCGCAGCCCCTTCGGAAGCTGTCCTTAAAATCATTTGTATAATTTTCTTTTAGAATTAAAAAAAAAAAAGTTTATTTTGAGAGAGAGACAGAGAGACAGAGTGCGAGTAGGGGAGGGGCAGAGAGAGAGGGAGACCCGGAATCCGGAATCCGAGGTAGGCTCCAGGCTCTAGGCGCTGAGCTGTCAGCACAGATGGGCTCAGACCAACAAACCATGAGATCGTGACCTGAGCCAAAGTCTGACGCTTAACTCTCTGAGCCACCCAGGTGCCCCTGTGTAATTTTCTTAAACAAGTAGCCAGATCGGTTTAGAATTTAGTTACATTGTTTTATAGGACCTTCCTTGCCGAACTCTTTTGAAATAGGAAACAAAAGCAGAGTAGAAGAGCGAAGCAGGAGGCAGGTGGCCGGAGCATTCGTGCTGGTAGAGGGAGACCCTCCGGTGTAGCTGGGAGCTGGTTGACTGTGAAATTCTCTGTATGTTTATTTTTGAGAGAGAGCGAGAGCGAGTGAGTGCGCAGGGGAGGGGCAGAGAAAGAGACACCGAATCTGAAGCAGGCTCCAGGCTGTGAGCTGTCAGCACAGAGCCTGCTGGTCCGACTTGGGGCTTGATCTCCCAGACCACGAGATCGTGACCTGAGCTGTAGTCGGCGCTAAACCGACTGAGCCACCCAGGCGCCCCATTTTTCTGTACGTTGTAAAGCTTCTAACCAGTATGTGTTTCTTTTCTTACTAAAGAATATTATAGATAAATGAAGGAACGAGGTGAGGGTCACCCCCTCCTTGAGGCGGTCTGATTTAACACTGCTGTGGGCTTGCGTTGAATACCCGCGCTTATTGCCCCGAAGTGGGAAACCTTGAAGCTGTGGCAGTTGCGTGTTGTTTAAAATGTAGTTGCAGCGGGCTCTTTATCTCAAGAGGGTTTTCTTAGAATTAAAGTGTGTCTTTGTCTCCTGAGAATTAATTACGGGGTCCAGCACCAGATCCTGAACGTGGAACACATTTCTTGCTGTGATTTTGGAGGCCTGCACTCCGCATCAGGGCTCTTAAGGTGTGATGCACCAAAGGGGGGACAGGTCTCTTGATCACAGGAGGGGGTGAACACAGGTGCCAGATGTGGCAACACCCAGGCCTGTGGGAGCCCAGAGGTAGGGAAACCGAAGGCTTTGTGGCTTGCACGGGAATCCGGAGGAAGGAGGGCCGTGTGCCCGGCTGACGGCAGGCTGGCGCGGCTGAGGGCTGGACTGTGCGGGGCCAGCGTTACAGCTGCCCTTGGCTGAGAACCTTCTAAGGGCAGGCGAGCTGTGGGTCACGTGTGTTGTGTTCCTTGTCTGATTTGTTCCTGACGTCAGACCTGGGAGGTGGGTAACAGTATGTTCATCTCTGTTTAATCCGTGAGGAAACGGGCCTAGAGTCACAGCCAGTGTGGGGCGGAGGCAAGATACAAACCTCTTGTTTTGGAGAGAGGAGCCTGGTGGGGGTGGGGGTGGGGATGAGACTGGAGGGGCCTGTTTGGGGCCAGGCCTGGAAGTTTGGGCTGGTCTCTGCCATGGTGAAAATGCCTGGTGCCATGCCGATAAAAGAGTTAGAGCAGGGGTTCCTGATCGGTTGGGTCCTGGAGGAGGGGGGGCCCGAGGATCAGTCCAGTCTGCGATCAGTCCAGTCCGCGATCAGTCCGTCGGGGAGAGCTGAGCCTGTGTGTGGTCCAGGGAATCTGGGATGGGGTTTGCAAACCCAAGGGCCCAGAAGAGGGGGCTGGGAAGTGCTTTGGGCCCCACAACACACGCCTTGTTTCTTATCTTTAATTTCTGTTGCTTCCTGAATGTGCTGCCTGGGGACGGGGGTCTCTTCTGCTGGTGGCTCACGATGGGGACCAGGAACCTCGTTTTCATCCCTTTGTTCCCTCGTCTTTGGTTTCAGTAGCTTTTGCTCTTGGAGAGGTTTGTCCTGTAGTCTGCAGACGCCCCTCACACCTTCCCTGCAGAAACCTCGACGCGGGGCCTTCCCCTGTGGAAGGACTGGATTGTGGCAACCGCAAGCAGTTCAGGCTCCAGCTTCTCAGACGGCCGCTCCTCAGTGCCAGGGGACCAGCACGCACAGGTCCCGGGAGGAGCCCCTGAGAGCTGGGGGCGGGTGGAAGGTTTGACCCCTGCTTTTGCTGGGAGGAGGGGTGGCAGGAGATCCCCTGTGAAACCTAGCTAGAATTCCCCACCCCCACCCCCTCCCCGGCTCCATCCTGCTGCGGATGTGAAGCTCTTTCGTTGTGGCCGCCAGTTGCGCTGTAAGGCATCAGTTTCCTTTATAGAGTGGGGGGTCTGCAAACCCGGGCCCTAAATCCACCTGCGTCCTGTTCTTGTAAATAAAGTTTTATTGGAACTTGGCTCTTCCTGTTGCATGTGTCGTCTGTGGTTGCTCCTGAGCGGCCGTGGCAGCCCCGGTCAGGGTGGAGTGGCTCTGCTGGGGACTGCGGCCCGCGAGGGCAAGCATAGTGTTTGTGCTTTTACAGAAAACGTGTTCCGGGAACAGGGATGGATGCCGACTCGTCCTAGACTCCCACAGTGGTCAGTAAAAACGTCAGAATTTGAAGTAGGGGGTGCGGTGCCTTTCTCATGTCGAAGTTCTCTTCTGCCAGGTGTCGGCATGTTGCAAGAGGGCGGGATTATTTATGAATTTCAGGCCGGCTTTTGTGGCGATGGTTCTTCATGTCTGGCTGAGACTTAGCAAGTGTACTGACTAACGACCATGTCCTTTCCGGGCCCTCTGGTTGCTTTCTCAAGCGTTTGCCCAGCCTGCTCTCCATCTCTATTCCTGTCGGATCAGGCTTTTTGCTATGTTCTGTGTAGCAGCGGGGTCTTTCCTTCTACGCAGGGACCTCCCGCCGCCTTTCCCCCCACACTGGGCTGGAGGCTTCGGCTTGTGCCGTGCTGTTCTGGCATTTAGGCTGAACCCCTTCTTTCAGCGGGTCCTGGGTCTTCCCTGAACGACTGGCCTTGCTGAGAGAGCAGCCTGGAGCCGGAGCACACACTGGGTCCTTCCCCAGGTGTCCTGAGGGTTAAAGTCCTGTAGTCTTGTGACCCTGGGCAAGTTATTTCTCTATCCCTACTACACCTTCATGTCCTCTGTAAATCAGGTTGGTGGCCACGGTATCTTCCAGAAAGTGCTCTTGGGAGGAGCCCTGCGAGGGCATGCGGGTCGTGGATGGTCAGCAAGGTGCCTGGCCCTCAGGAGTGAGCATGTAGTGGGGGTGGCTCCCTGGTGAGTTAGAGGCCGTCCCAGATCGCCTGGCCAGGTGGGCTTCTGACTCTGGCTGGGACCCAGGCAGCGTGAAATTAATCCTGTTCCCGGAAATGGCTTTTGATAAGATGGGGAGTACAGGGAGGTTTTCCCTTTGGTGGACAGATAACAGACAGGCTCAGCAACCTGCTGGACAAGCGGGGCTTGCGTATTAAGTTGCCTTTGTTGGTGCATCTTTCGGTTGTTTCTATGCCAGCAAGTCCGGGGCCTCTTGGACTCTTTTAGATAACTTGTCAGAATATACAGACTTTTTTTTTTTTTTTTAAATGTTTATTATTGAGACAGTAAGTGCCCGTGTGCGAGCTGGAGACAGAGGATCCAAAGCTGACTAGCCCTCCATGCTGACAGCAGAGAGGCTGACGCAGGGCTCGAACTCATGAGCCTGAAGATCATGACCTGAGCCGAAGTCAGATGCTTAACCGACTGAGCCACCCAGGTGCCTCTCTTCACACGTGGGATTCAGCCCTTTTTTCCTGTGCCTAGTGGCAAAATTTTCATTTAGGCCAGCCATTTCCAGAATGCTCCAGGGCCCCGTGGCGTGCCTCCCTGCTGTCTCAGAGTGGCTGCTGTGGGAAATGGAGGGTTTGGGGTGTAGGCGGCCACCCCTGGCTGTTATATATGTAATACGGAGGGTCCAAGGTAGTTTTATTCGGGGGAGAAAAAATTAATTCTGTTACCTACGCGAGGGAGAGAAAGCGGTGGCTATGAGCCAAGCTCGCTCATGCCCATCTGCAAGGACCTGGTGTGTCTCAGCCAATTCTTGTCCCACAGATCCGGGCGTGAGTCAGGCTTGAGCGAACACACCTCTTACCCCCCGAGAAAAATGTTCTGTCTCCTTGACTGGCTTCACTTTCACAGCCAGATATTTGCCTGAACTTTTCTGCCATCTGATGAGGCCAGTCAGGCATTGTGCGTGCGTTTGTGTGTGTGCGTGTGTGTTGGTGGGTAGCAACTCGGCAGATGCTTGTAAGCTGTTCAAGCTCCCGTTAGCAGTGAATGCTCCCGGCCCGAGGTTTATGAAAACCAAGGGGCACACAGAGTAGCCAGTTGGGTGTGGGGCTGGGCTGGGCCCCAAGTACGGCAGTAATAACCCAAGTGATTATATTTGTGTTTTGGATTTGTGCCCAGTGAAATGTGGCCTAATGAAAGGAGCTTTGGATACTGTCAGGCCAGTGTCTGTGACCTAAAGGCCAGACAGCAAATAGGTGATGCTTTGCGGGCCTCGTAGGCCTCTGCTGCGGATTCTTCAGGCTGAGAGTAATTCGGCCACCCCTGTTCTAAAGGGAAAATGAGGACCAGAAGACCCTCCGTCAGTGCAGTCTTACTGTCCACCATTGAAATGAGAGGTGTCCGGCCCCTCCCCCACAGGTGCTGTCTCCATAGCAACGGAGACTCCGTCTCCCATCAGCATCCCAGCTTTAGGTAGGAAGTTGGAATGCAGTAGCAGGTGCGTGGCAGGAGATGGCCACCTTGACGAGAAGTTGTTCGTAAATGCTGTGGCTGTGGGTTATTCACACTGATGTGTTTGATTTTTTTTTTTTTTAGAACTGGTTGCGACTTGTGAGATCTTGTCTCGGCCTCTCCATTCTGTGGACAGGGAAACTGAGGGCGAGAGAAGCCGCTCACGTGGCCAGGAGGCGCAGAGCTGGGTGAGAAAGCGGGAGGAGGGGGCACCAAAAACCAGATTGAATGCGGGCGTTGGTCCAGCGTGTGCTTGTGCTGGCTTTTTTGGGGTGCCCTTTGCAAGGGGCCCCAGTGTAGTAGGTTTGCTGAATGGTGGGATTTCTTGGGAGGGCCTCAGGCAACAGTCGTGGGTCAGCTAACAGTCATGGACAGAATTCCCCAGGAGAGTGGATCCCCTTTGCCCAGGGTTTTTCTTTAAATTTTTCCAGGGGTGCCAGGAGTCAGGGTGTGGTCAGGCTTCCAGTCTCCCAGTGCTTCCTGGGGGTGGGGGTGCGGACAGGTTAGTTCTCAGAAGTGTGCTGTCCCCAGGAAGGCCCGAGAGAGCCATCTATGTTCACTGTAGCCTCTGCCCACGGACCCAGGCAGTGGGGAGTCAGTCCAAGAAGGACCTGTTTGTATTTGAGAACTGGCAGGAGTTTGTGCCGACGGATTTTAAGAAGACTTTTTGATCACTGTCGGTAGAAACAAGTATTTTCCGCCAGGTCTCAGAATCGAAAGACCTTCGATGTGTAAACATCAAGCACGTTAAGGTTACATGTGGGAATTGGATAGGCGGGTCAGTAGTTTTTTCTTCTCTTTGTCAGTTTGGTTTGTAATTTCCTAAAGGACTCCATAGTTAGGAAGTTTGACAGCGCTAAGTCTGCAGTCCCGCAGCTACGTGGCCGGGAAGGGGCCCCGCCACGCGGCTTTTCGTCAGCAGTGTGTGTAAGGTTCTCCGTCGGCCGGGGGTGGCCGAGAGGAGCCGTTTTCATCATTGTGCTCACGTGAAAAATTCTGGAACCGGTCTCTCATTAATGAGCTCTGTGACTGTGGGTGGTCCCGTGGTCTCTGCGGGCTGGGCAGGGGGAGGGGCGGGCCCAGCCCCCCTCTGCCGCGGCCCCGCCTCAGTGCTGGGCACAAGGCAGCGCCCGCCTAATAAAAGCCTGTTAACGAGTGTACTTTCTATGTGGTGACCAGTTACAGTAAATCCGGTGACGTAGCACAACACAGACGTGCCCTCTTGCAGTTCTGGAGCTCAGAAGTCTCAGTGAGTCTTACTGGGCTCGCTTCCTCTGGAGGCTCCACAGGAGACTCGTTTCCTCCCCGTCTCCGGCGTCCAGGGGCCCCCGCACCTCTGCGGTGGCCCCACCTGTCCTTAAATAGCGCTCCAGCCTTAGCTCTGGAAGCCGCGCCTTTCTGACTCTATAGCCCTCCCGCTCCTGTCCTGCCTACAGAATCCAGGATAATCTCCCCATCTTGAGATCCTTACCTTAATCACGTCTGCAGGATCCCTTTTTCTCCACGTAAGGTAAGGAAGTCACAGGTCCGGGAGTCGGGATGTGAGCTTGGCTATGCAGCACGTGACATGAGTTTGTAAAGAGAGTGCTAAGTAGACAAGTCCCTGAGTGCTGATCACAGTCCAGGGATTAGGGTGCTCTGCCCCGCCCCTCCCCCTTGTTCTGGGCCCCGCCCCCACGGGTCTCCTGGCCCAGCAGTAGGGATGCTCCCCCTCCCCCCCATCTGTTTCCTTGCTGGAGACAGGTTTTTGAAGTTGATTTATCTTGAGAGAGACAAAGGGAGTGGGGGAGGGACAGAGCCAGAAGGAGAGAGAGAATCCCAAGCAGGCTCCGAGCTGTCTGCACAGAGCCTGACACAGGGCTCGAACTCCTGAACTGTGAGATCATGACCTGAGCCAACAGTCAGAAGCTCACCCGAATGAACCACCCAGCGCCCCCTCCCTCCTGGAGACTTGTGAACGTGCTTGCTCAAGGCTTTGCCTTTTAGACCCAGGGTCAGCCAAGTCTGCTTACATGCGGCATGGCGGGCTACATGGCTATCACACATTCTTTGTTTTTTCTTAAACAAATGTGAAAAATGATTTTAAAAATCATTCTTAGGTTGAAGGCTTTATGACAAACAGGCCATTGGCTGGGACGCTGACCGGTGTTTGCCACCCCTTGGGGACTGTAAGCTCCGTGAGGCAGGCGCCACATGGAAGTCTCCAGGGCTTCTGTTAATAGTGTGGGGGTGTGGGTGTGGGGTTTTGTTATTTTTATCCGCATGATCTTTTGATTTGATAGAAGTGTCTAGAAGTTAGATCTCTTCTGATCTTAATGGAGACTTTCAAATTGACTTACATTTGATAGCCTGTTAAATACAACTTATTCTGATGAAATGAAATCTAGTCCCTGCCCTGAGCGTGGGGGAGGGACGGTGTTCCTAGTGGGGCGGGGGCGAAACTCCCGGGAGCCAGCTCCGGGGAGGGGGGCGGAGGGAGCGGGTGGGAGATCTACAGATAAAGTGGTGTGTTGTGGGACCCCCGGGCACCAGAATCCGAAATTGGACACATTTGGCCAGTTCCCATCTCTGGTCCCTCTTTGCTCCTGGCACACGAGGCAGACGCACTGGGGGAAGGTCGCTGACGCGTAACCTGGGCACTTGGGGCCTGTGAGCGCTCTGGGGCGTCTCTGGTTTGTTTCTTCGTGGAGGCCGCCCTCCTACAGATTTCTTTCATTGTCAAGATTTCTTGAATGAGAGGACGGATGTTCCCAGCTCTGTGTCAGAACCAGTGGCATGGTTCACACTTGGCGTGGTGCCAGGTGTGGTGTGCCCGGAGGCGTGTGATGTCACTGTCCCCTGGTGCGCCTTTCTTGGCCTCAGTTTATAATTGAATTTTGCCCTCGTGCTTTATACAGTCTTGGATCGTAATATATAGGGTTTTATTTCAGAGTGATCTCGGGTGCAGAACGCTGTGCCAGCACACTGAGCATGCTCCTTCTGGCCTGTGTGGCCTCAGAGTAGGGTAAGACAGCAAAGCGAGCTGGTGCGGCCACCAAGGTCCTTTGGTTATCAGTGGATGTTTTTTACAGTTTCCTCCATTTTGTCACTAAATACGTTAGCACTCTGGTTTATTTAGCTTTCTTCCCCATGCGTTAATTCCAACGGGAAGTGATGGTCACTTCTCCGAGTTTATTTTTCACGGTCGAGTTCTTAGAACCCGTGGCCCTGAGTCCCCAGTGCCTGCCACGTGGCACTCACTCACCCCCGGCAGGCACGCGCTCGGTGTTGGAGTGAATGAATGCGTGAAGAGCCGATGGACTTGGTGAAGCCCCTAGGAAATCAGAAAGTGGCAGAGGGCAGGGTGTTCTTTCTTGTCATCCTCAAGATTTTCCGAGTGGAGGGGGCAGTGTCGCCGCTACAGCCCCCCCTCCCCGCAGTGGTCTTTCCCCGGGGAATCCTTGCTTCCTCTTCTGTACCTGCACCCCAGAGAGCCCTGCTTATGTTCCCCTAGCAGATGCTTTTTCTCTGGACGCTGGTTCCTTAGTTGGAAAAGTGCACACACCCAGGCTGTTCCTGAAGAATGATTTTTGATGGCTTCCCTTTGTTTTGTTCATCCTTGAACTGAACAGCCTTCCATAGGCGGGTTGCAGACCTCCCTTGCTCTGCCTTAGTTTTGATGTTATGTCGATCTGCTACAGTGGTGAGGTTTTGTTTTTCCATCTTGAAGAGCGGTTCTTGACTTGGCTGGAGGGCCATGTGGGAAAGTTCACATTTCTGTGTTGCTGGTGAGCGGTAGACTCTGGTCAGTTCAGACAGAGTAAGACTTCTGAACTTTGGGGTTGGGGAAGGTACCTACACGGAGATGCTCTTTAAATGTGAGCAAAACAGCTTATGCAATGGTAAGGATGTTTTTCTGGGGAAAGAATCCAGGGCTTTCTTCAGGTCTTCAAGGAGATCCATGATCCCTGAAGGGTTCAGCCCGCTGGCTTAGGGACTTTGGTGGATTAACACTCTATTTTCTTTCTCTCTCTCTCTCTCTTTCTTACATTTCAAAGGCAGATCGGGAGCGGTGCCGAGAAAAATTTCCTTACTAGATGACATTTCATCGCAATGTCCGATCGTTTGGGGCAAATAACCAAGGGCAAGGATGGGAAAAGCAAGTATTCGACTCTCAGCCTGTTTGATAAGTATAAAGGAAAATCAGTAGACGCCGTCAGATCCTCAGGTAAGAACCGGGCTGGAGACCAGTTCTTTTTTTTTTTTTTTTTAAATGTTTTATTTATTTCTGAGAGAGAGCGTGCCAGCATGAACAGGGGAGGGTCAGAGAGAGAGGGAGACACAGAATCTGAAGCAGGCTCCAGGCTCTTAGCTGTCAGCACAGAGCCCGATGCGGGGCTCGAACCCACGAACCGTGAGATCATGACCTGAGCCGAAGTCGGCTGCTAAACCGACTGAGCCCCAAGGCGCCCCTGGAGGCCAGTTCTTTACGCTTTCCCTTCCGTGAGGAACTCCACGTCCTGAGCCCAGGGTCCCTGCCTGCTCAGACAGTATTCTGGGCGTGGAGGGGTCACCAGGCAGTTTTGGGGACATAGAGTCACTTCCTCTGCTCCGGTTTGATGTCACATTTTGAGCCTGGATACCCTTTCTTTCACTGTAATTATTTCCTCAACTGTCTTACCTCGTTAGAGCCACAGAGAGTGTGTCATGTCCCCCCGCCCCGCCCCGGGTAGAGTGGAACTGAATTTGTGTTAGAGTAACCGGTTTTAGGCTTCATGGTTCTGATGTTTGGGAACTTGGTGGGAAAATCCTGTTGTGTCCACACCCCGGGAGGATTTTGTGCATGTCGATGGCCCTGCTGAGCTTCGGCCCCGGGGCTAGGTGGAGGCTGGCCCTTGGGTCTTGCCAGCGAGGCCGGAGCAGTCTCAACCTGCAGAGAGGTGGTTACCGTGTGGGCCGGAGGCTTCTGGGCCCGGCTCCCCGCCCCCGTCATCCGCTCCGTGCCCCTGCCCGCTAGTGAAGTGCACGTCTCTGCAGCCTCGGCAGCTCCCCAGTGTCTGCGGCCTCGGTGAAGGCCTTGTAAAGTGGCGAAAGCAGCTGCCGGGCCCTTTGGTCTGCTGGCACGCGGGCCGCCGTTTAAGGGGGTGGTTTGGCGTCTCTGTCGTCGTCGCTTAGGGCTTGAGAGAGCTTCTGAACCCACCCCGCCCCCCTCTCCCTGCAGTTACTCCTCGCCATGGCTTGCAGAGTCTCGGGAAAGTTGCCACAGCCCGGCGTATGCCGCCACCTGCAAACCTGCCGAGCTTGAAGTCTGAAAACAGAGGAAACGACCCCAACATCGTTATAGTTCCCAAGGACGGGACGGGATGGGCAAACAAGCAGGATCAGCAAGACCCAAAGAGGTGGGCGCCGCGGGGCACGCGTGGGTGGCCAGCCGGGGCCTTCCCTTCTGCAGGCGGCGGAGCTGGAGAGCGGGGGAGACCCCGAAGGAGGCTGCCTCTGCCCTGACTCCCCCTGCTTGGTTGTTTCTTGCCCCCCGCCTTCTGGAGCTGACGCAGCCGTGCCTCTGTGGGCCGCCTTGTCCCCGGCTGCCAGTGTCCCCTGCGCCTTATTAGGAAGGGCCGCCTCCCCCCAGAGGAGCTTACGCAATGCCTCAGAGCCAGTTCCTGAGCCAGCAAGGGGCTCTGTGGACAGAGCGGGTGCTCGAACGCTCCGTTCCGGGGCGTCCCTGTGTGCCGGGCTCCGGGCAGCTGACTTCGGGCTGCGGGGCCAGCAGCGTCCCACGCGGCTGCTGCGGTTAGCTGTTCCCAGCAGACCCAGTTACGAAGGATGAATCCTCAGTATGGAGGGTCGGTGTGCCGCCTCTGTGCAGGCTCACCCCTCTGCCAGCCTGGCACCTCCGGGAGCCTTCGGAGGCCCGGGGTCTGGCACGAGAATCCCCATTAGAGCAGCAGAGTAAGTGTCGTGGCTGCCACTGCGTCGTGGGGCTGGCGCCAGCTCTGCCCCGCGCACGAAACCTGGGCCGCCCCTGCCCGCCCCCGCCCGGGTTCCTCTCCTTCCACCGCGAGGCTTCTCCGCTGCGCGCCAGCCAGGGGGAGGGTGTGGGGTTTGTACTGTGACGACTAGGACCCTGCCTCTGGGGTTTGCCCGTTGCGGAGCGAGAACAAAACCGTCTGGTCCCGTGCATCTTCCTGCCCTCGATCTCTTGTGCTCTGGCTGCCGAGGCTCGGGATCCAGAGAGTAAGCGACCCAGAGCACAGCCCGCTGGCCTGCGTCCTTTTCTCTCACTGGCCACGGCCATGGCGGTTTCTGTAAAACTGCCCGCGCTTCCTTTGCACCAGATGGAGAGAGTGAGTGTGTAACTCGTGCGGATGAGCGTAGAGTAGCAGTCACCAAAGCCGAGTCTGAAAAGCTGTTTTTAAAAATTTTCTCACGGTTTGCTTAGGGGTCCTACTGGGTGGGGGTGTGGCCTGGCTTTTAGAATCGGCCAGGCTACCTACCAGTAGCTTTGTGGCACCTGGAGAATTCCTTGATCGGTGCTCCAGGGTCCTGCGAAGCAGGAATACTGCCTGGGTGGTTGTAGGAAACGGACCGGGTCACACAGGGCATGTCCCCGGCACGGAACCTGACGGAGGGCGTGTGTGGCAGGTGTCCACTGCCGCTGCTGTCATTCCATCCACACGGTAGATGCTACAGACCCTCTAATGAAATGGATATTGTACGTTTCAACGTGAGTGTTGAAATGCCTCTGCTACAGGGAAGTTCCCGAGAGAGAGGACAAGGCGTCGCTCCCTCCTCAAATTGGGTTCTGCCAACGTGGCCATGGGAGGGATCAGGCGGCCTTAATGGGGCCGGTCGTGCTGCGTCACATCAGCCAGGGACGAGGTAGGGACGGGACGCTGGACAAGGCCATGGACCCCGGGTGCTGGTTCCCTCTTGCCCCGGGGCCACATCCGTCCTCCCGTGGAGTATCAGGGAGGTGGCAGTGAGGGCCGCAGCTGCTGGGACTCCATGCTGAGCTTGCAGAACACAAAAGAACACTAGCTGGAAGCTTCTGTTGTAGATAGAAGATGAAGTAAGCGTGAGTGGCCTTCATTATGTAGGAATCCTGCCCGGTGAGTTCTCGGCTCACGTAAACCCTGGAAGCCTGTGTGTGGAACTTTCGGCTTAGCTTCCTGGGGAGCCCCCGGCATTGGGGGCACTGGCTGAGCGGATTGCTGGCCTCCTTGGGTCTCGGCGGGATGAGGGCGTGACTGTGAGCAGACAGATGTCTTCCTCAGAGCCCCTCCTTGGTTGGGGGAGTGGGTGTCAGCTGACCCCGCCTTCTTGGGCGCTCACTTGGGCAATATCTCTTAAACTTCAAAACGTCTTTTGATCCAGCAGTCCCGTTGTTAAGAACTTAGACTCCTGGATTACTTAGACGAAAAGGTGCCAGGTCACGTATAAAAAGTGCTCGTTGCAGTTTGGCCAGTAATGGGAAACAAAGTTGGGGATTGGTCCGTTAGGGCCTCTCCAGCCGACTGCACCATGTCACTGGAACAGAGAAGTGGGTCCAGGCGTCGTCCTGAAAACGCGTTTGATACAGTAAGCGACAAAAGGAGTTACGAGTTGTACGTGTGGTGTTAAAAAAAAATACTATGTTCATACATATATATATATATATATACACACACACACACGTATATAGAAAAATCCGCTCAGCATTTCTCTCTGGAGGAGGAGATCGTGACAAATTCTGTGTTCTATTTATTTATAAATTTATTTCCACTATGGGCATATATTTCTTCTCTAAGCCAAGAGAAGAAAAAAATGATGTTGCGAAGCCATCAGCCCCCTGCACAGACGGGAGCTCTTGGTCAGGCGTGAGAGGCTCCGAGCCCTTCCCCTGTGCTGACTCCGCTGCCCTGCTGGCAGCCCCTGCGGCCCTTGTTTGGGGTGAGCTTCCAGCCTTTGCAAGAGAAGCGCTGCCGAGGGGACTGAGGACCCGAGGAGGCTCTGGCCGGCAGGCTTTGGATGGGGCCCAGCTTCTCTTGGGTGCTGTGGCGTCAGAGCCTGCCGGACAGGCTCCGTGCTGCCCCTGGGCCGCCGAGCAGCCACCGCTCCGGGAAGCACGGGGTGGCCCGCACGTGTCCATCTGACCCCTGTGCCCCCCGCCCTGTCCAGTTCCAGTGCGACGGGCTCTCAGCCGCCGGAGTCGCTGCCGCAGCCGGGTTTGCAGAGGCCTGTCTCCAGCTTACAGAAGCCGACACAGTCGAGCAGCCAGGAGGTAGGTGCCGCTTCCAGGGGCTGAGCCTGGCGGGCGGCTGCGGGAAATGGGCACGGGAGGCTGTCCTGGTTCCCTGGAGGTGCCTGCATGTGCAGCTCTTGGAGAAAGACCGCAGATGCAGAACGGAGTACGGGCAACCAGTCAGCTCCCTGTTGACTTACCCGGCGGTGAGGTTGCTGGGGCTGGCTCTACGCTGGACCAGGGTTCCCTGAATGTGCTCCGTGGGGGACTAGTTAGGCCACAGGAACGTTCGGGGGGTCCGGTGAGTTGAAAACCAAAATTAAGCACGCTCCTTTACCGTCAGACTTCTCGTCAGGGTCTCTGACGTGCTCATGTGTGTTGTGAGCCTGTAATGACACGGGGGGCAGCATCCCCCGAACTCACTTGTCCTGGGAAGCCTTCCTAACTGAACGTCTTCAGACACTGCTGTTCCTCAGAACACACTTGGGAAATACCAATCTTTGACCCTTTATTTGTTGATGCATTTAAAGTGTTTTCTGAGGGGTGCTCTGGCTGGCTCAGTCAGCAGTGCACGCAACTCTTGATCTCAGGGTTGTGAGTTTGAGCCCCATGTTGGGTATAGAGATGCCTCAAAAAATCAAATCTTTAGGGATGCCAGGGTGGCTCAGTCGGTTAAGTGTCCGACTTTGGCTCAGGTCATGATCTCATGGTTCATGGGTTCAAGCCCGGCGTCGGGCTCTGTGCTGACAGCTCAGAGCCTGGAGCCTGTTTCGGATTCTGTGTCTTCCTCCCTCTCTGACCCTTCCCTGCTCACGCTGTCTCTCTTTCTCTCAGAAATAAATAAAACATTAAAAAAATATTTAAAAAAATCAAATCTTTAAATAAATAAAATGTTTTCCTAAGCGGAAAGTTAGGATTTAACGAGCCAAGGCTCGTAATACACTCAGTCCATCTGAGTCTGTGTGGGTTCCAGAGGCCAGCAGGAGAGTATACTTAGCTGGTAGCTGGAGATCTGGATGAGATGTCTGCTAATCCTGTAGAAAACCACAGGACATGTGGGCAGATGTCTAGCATTCTGCAGCTGTTTTGGAGACAACCTGCACTGGTGTGTTTGAGCCGTACTGCTCCCGGGGCAGCAGCAGGTCTGAGGTCCCATCCCCACCAACCCCGAACTGTGCTTTTGGAATTAAAGGAAAAGGGAGAAGAGATCCACATTCGTGCGGAACTCAGTTTTCATTGGCCCGAATCCACTGGCGCCCATCACCCAGTCAGGGCACAGAGTTGAGTTGGGTTTGCATCGGTCGCCTGCCCTGGCTGGACGTCCGACTCGCTTTCGGAGCTGCCTCAAGTGTGTCTCTGCCTCTGCCCCAGCGCGGCAGGGTCTGGCCTGGGGCCTGCTGTGGTCTTGGCATCTGTCGAGGAAAATCGCTGAGGGTCGGAGCCCCGTCCTGGGGCTGGCACGCCGCGCGCTCTGCCCTGGGCTCAGCCCTTCCTACCGTGGTGGGAATGGGGCTCCCAGTGTTTCCCAGTCCCTAAAGCCCCGGCTCAGGCATGGCAGCCCTCTAACGGCAGCATTCGGAGCCCCCTCTCGGCCCTGGAGCCTGTCTCTTTCCGGTCGGTGCCTTCGGTGGGCAAGGGCAGGGCCGCCCTCGCGCAGCCTGCAGACACCCAGTGGGCGTGCCCCAGTGTGTCCTGTGCGTCCTGGGGGACCCTGGGGCTCTGCCCTGTGACATTGCCGGCACGTCCCTTCTGTGGTCTGGGGGGGGCTGTGGACCGCCCCCCCAGGGCGCTAAGTGCGACTCCTGGTAAATGAGTGGAGTGTCAGTCAAATCTGGTCCGCTCCATGTGCAAAGTGACAGACTCTGCCGTCCGCCCTGAGTTTGGTGACGCTGGAGTCAGGGGTGCTGGGAAGGGGGGATTATTTCATGTGAGGTCCCGCCCAGGGTGTGCCACACCAGCTGTGTTCTGCGCATTTGCACCTTCGGGTGGACGGGGAGGCCGTGAGGCTGAGTGTTGTCAGGAGAGGCAGGCGGGCTAAGTGGCTGGGGACTCCCGGGGCTCGGGATGTGGACAGCCTGGTCCTTGCCCTCCTGGCTGGGCCCAGTCACTCCTTTCCAGGCCTCTGAGAGGACAGGACCTCCCCAGGCTGTGGGGGGGTCTGCTCGGGCAAGGTGAGCCCGGCACAGAGCCGCGCCTGCAGTGAGCGAGCTCCCTGGCTTGCGTGCAAGACGGCCAAGTGTGGCTTCGTGCAGGAGGGAGGCCTCTCACTTGAGTGGTTGGTTGTGCCTTGGAAAATGACAGACAGTGATCACGGGGGCAGTGCGGTGGCCCCTCCAGTGGGGATCGGGCACGCCGGCCTTCCCGTGCCGGTGCTCCTCTGTCCGCAGTGGCTTGTGGCTTTTGAGACACGTGTTAGGATGGGGGCTGGCCATCTCTGGAGCAAGGCCTCGTAGCTGACGGAGTGTTCCAGAGTGCAGAGCGGGGGGGACGTGGGTTGGCCGAGCCGTGGAACCAGCTGCGGGAGCTGCCCCCCCCCCCCCCAATCCTGCTGCTCCTCTGGGTCTTGTGCCTGTAGCTCCTCACCCCCGGGCTGCCACGTGGGGTGTGGGGGGGGTGCTGGATGGGAAGCAGGCCGATGCGGCTGGCTTTATTTTCATTTGCTTCCTTCTTTCAGAACACAAATTCAGTGCCAGGTGGACCAAAGTCATGGGCACAGCTGAATGGAAAGCCAGCAGGACACGAAGGTGGTGAGTGTGGGCGGGTGGCGTTGGGCTGGGTGGGAGGGAGCGTCCAGTGCCTTTTCTGGACGGTTCTGCCCGGGTCTAGGCAGCCCTTGGCCAAAGCTTTGTGGAACCTCTCACCGGAGTGAGCTGCTGCCCGGAGGAGCCTTTACCTCTGCCCCTGGCGGTCGAGGCGCTGCGTCCGCCAGGCCTGTCCGCTCTCTGCTTTCACTGAACGTTACCACCCCTGCCATCCCTCCTGGGGGCTGTGGGGCGGCTAGAGGCTGGCCCTGCCGCTCTTGGACTAGGCTGTGGGGTTGTGCCCTTGATACCTGCTCAGTGGCGTGGCTGACACGCATCCACTTCCTCTCCTGGGGCCTTCCAGGAGGAGGCGTGTTGTGGTGAGAGCCTCTGGGCCTGGGACTTGGGCCGCTTGCTTTTTGGACGGTGATATCAGAGCTTTCGCGGCTTACACGGTCCTTGGTGCCGTTTGTGTCGCGCCTGACACAGGAAGTGTCAGAGGTGTTGCTCGCAGAGGGGCGATGGGGGAGAGGAGCAGGAAGAGCAGGTGGTGAGAGGGCTTCCGGGGCAGGCCCAGGGCAGAGGTGAGGGCCCACCTGGACAGAGGGCAGCCAGAGCGCCCAACCCCCACCTCCCCAGCCCCCGGAGCCCTTCGAGCACAGGGGCCCAGGCTCAGTGGGTGCTTCTCAGAGAGGCCGAAAGTCCAGATTTTTCTACACAAGCCCTCCTACAAGTTTGCCACTGATAGCTCGAATATTTCTAGCACGTCGTACAGACCAAACTGGGCGATGCCCCCGCACCGGAAAGAGAGGCTGCAGGTGGGAGTGGCGGTCCATGCTTGCTCTTCCTGCGTGTAGAGCACTGGCTCACCGCACCCCCCCCGCCCTCCTCCCACAGCCCTCCCCCCACCAAGGCCATGGGCTTTCTGCGTGCCCCTGGCAGCCGAGCCTTCACCAGCTGCCTTCTGTAGCTCGTGTAGAGCAACCGCGAACATCCTGCCCCAAGCCCTCCCTCTGACCTGGCGCACGCGCCCCTTCTGGGTGGGGGCCCCCGTGTGCTTGGACAAGGCTGTGTCCCCGACCATCAGTCAGCGTGCCAAGTGTGTCAGACTCCGGCTCCTGTGCAGGAGCTGAGGGCGGGAGGGAGCTTTAGCGACTGGTCTGTGGGGTGAGATAGGCGGGGCAGGTGGGGCGGCGGCCAGCCTTTCATTTCAGTCCCCCAAAACTAGGTCTTTAAAGAGGCTTTACAAAGAGTACCCACTAGACCGTTTTAACAGCAGTCTTTGCTTTCTACAGCTTTTACTCTGCAGGTGAGGATTTTTTAAAGTAAATCACGTGCATTAATTTTTATTTAAAAAGAACTGCAGAGTTTTAAAAAGTACTACGTTGGCACAGCCCCTTGGTGGGCAGCTTGGTGCTGCCGATTGAAATACTAATGCGTACACCCTCGACCTAGCATTTCCACTTGGAGGAAAATCACCCCAGAAACGCTGCTTGCCGATGTGAGAAATGGCATAGAGTCCAAAGATACTCGTTGGAGGCTTATGGTAGGGGAGGATCGGAAACAGTCGCTTGAAATGGCCATTAAATCTTGGTGCCCTGAAGAAATACTACTTGTCTCTAAAAAAAGGTAGTTTTCCATGGATCTGGCAAGATCTCTAGGATATATTCTTAAACGGAAAAAAGTTCAGAATAATATGTAGAGTGTGTTACTATTCATGAAAAAAATTGGGACGAGGGAAAGTGTACTTACAGAAAATGAACGTGCATCAAAAAAAATCTCCGGAAGGAAGCCTGAGTGGGGGGGGGACGCTGCCCGTTTCCTCAGTGCGTCAGAAGTAGGCAGGTGGGCATGCGGGTGGGCGCAAGTCTGTCTCTACTTTTCTGCGGCTTCTTACTTTTGAAGCACGTGATTGTATTTCCTATGAAAAATAAGACGAGATTTAGAAAATCACTCCAGAACACAGCAGAACCTTCTGTAAATGTGTGATTGTGCATCTGAGAGGCGGCAGAGCCCAGAAGCTGGGAGGAGGGACCGACAACCCTGGGTCCCCCTCCTGTGCTGCTGTCACGAGTCCATGGTGCCAGCAGGGCTGTGGGCACTTGGTGGTGTCCGCCCCCCCCCCCCCACAGGTTCACGACTGCAGCTCAGAAGGGCTCTCCTGTGTCGATAGACCGTGGCGCGGAGCGAGTGATCTTTAGGCCTGTTGCACCCAGGTCGGACCTGGGGGGTGGGGTCCCTGACTGGTGCGGGTGAAGGCCAGGGGTTCGTGGGGTGGGACCTCAGAAGCAGCCCCAGATGTTCCTGCTTCAGGTTCTCACGGCAGAGATCACTTGGCGCATGGCACTGGTAGGGAACATTCTAGAGCGCCGAAACCTTAGGAGAGCCACCACTTTGGCTTGAGATTTTGAGTTAATCCTTCTGATCTGTGGAGGGGAAGTTTAATTCATGCATCTAGTAAGACCTTTGTAACTGCTGAGATAGAAAAATGTACTGAGTATTTGTTTTCAGCCTCCAGATCTGCCGTGTGTTCAAGGCATGAGTTTCACATTTCATCCTTGCCAGTGAGTTTTTAACCTGCCGCAGGGACCCCGAGTCCCCTTCACAGAGCAGTGGTGCCGCTCAGGCCTCCGGGAGACTGTCACCCTGGCGGGTGTATCTGACCCTGGAACTTCCTGCTGAGTAGGGCCGTGCTGCCTTGTGCTCTGCACCCGTGCCAGCCGCCGCTTCTGCAGAGTCTGCTGTAGCTCCCGGGCCCGTGAGGCAGCGGTGGGAAGGTGGGGGGGACGTGGGGCTTTATCGCCTAGGGGACGAGGCGCTCCTCAGTTACACCCGGGGCCGCGTGCTGTTACTGTTATATTAAGTTTAGATGGTGCTGGGCATTTGGTCCAGATAAAAGCACCAAATCCCACTGAGGACCACAGAGTGCACCTTTTTTTATGATCTGTTCGTCCAGAATAGATCAGAGGTTCCCAGCGCTAAGCGCTGGGAGGGGCTCCCGCAGAGTTAAAGAAGGGCCGCGTCTCTCGGGCCTGTGGCGTTGGGGACCGGATGAGCGAGCAGAGGAAGGGATCGGTCCCAAGGTGGCAGGAGTAAAACGCCTGGTGCCCGTGAGGGGTGAACGAGGGGGCAGGCCTTTCTGTGGGCGGAACCTCCACACGAACGCAGTTCACCTCCCCGGGCTGAGTTCCCTGAAGAGTGCTCGTCTGTCCCCCGGGGCCATGTGAGGGCCGTGCTGCCTTTTCCCGGCGGCGGGAAGGATCTGGGCTGGAGCCCTTTGTAACCAGCTCGTGCAGGGTAGCCGCAGGGGCGTGGTGTGGCCTGCGTCCAGCCTCCCCCTGTCGCCGAGGGGCCTCCAGTGCCCCCCTGCCAGCACATGATGCCAGCGTAGACGACGCACTTGACAGGAGCCCACGTCAGGGCAGAGTGGCTTCTGGCCCGTGGAGCGGGCAAATCAGAGAACCATCGATGCCCGTCTCCCTTGCCCTCTAACTGGTCTTTCTGGTTTTCTTGGCAGGTTTAAGGGGCTCAAGCCGACTGTTATCCTTCTCTCCCGAGGAATTTCCGACGCTGAGAGCAGCTGGAGGGCAGGACAAGGCTGGCAAAGAAAGGGGCGTCTTCGATCTGTCGTATGGGCCAGGACCAAGCCTCCGCCCTCAGAGTGAGCGAGCTGCAGTCCCTGTCCGGGCACCCGTGGGCCCCGCGGGGCTCCCCCGTCTTCCTGGCTCTCTGCCTCTTAGAAGCACGCGTGTCCTCACCGAGCCGAAGCTCCCGGGGTGCAGGCTCCCCGCCTGGAAAGCGCGGCTGCTAACCGGTTACTTTGTCTGCTCCCCCCTCTGTGGGACTTGCTCCCCAGGCTGGTCCCGAGGTCTTTCCTTTCTCGTCCTCTGGGCCGGGCCGGGCCGGTCTGTTCCCCGGCTGTCCTCACACAGGAGTTCTGCTCTGCTCGGGTGCGCCTGGCGAAGACAGACCAGGGGCCCGTTAACTCCGGCCCTGATTCAGGAGCTGGTTTTCTAAGCCAGTGGTTCCTGAGCCTTAGCCGCTTCCTGTCAGGATCCTTCGGGGAGTTTGCGACAAGGGCTGGTTTCCAGCCCTCCTCCATCCTCAGCCAAATTAGAATCTCTGTATTTTTTTTAAGTTTGTTTATTTTGAGAGGGATCACGTGATTGTGTGAGGGGCAGAGAGAGAGGGCTCCACGCTGTCAGCACAGAGACCCAGGGGCCTGAACCCACGAACCATGAGCTCATGACCTGAGCCAAAATCAAGAGGCGGACACTCAACCGACTGAGCCACCTAGGCGCTCCAAGAATCTCTATTTTTGAACATGGTCCCCTGGGGATTGTTTTGTAACCTGTCGAGGATTTGTCTCCACAGTCCCCTCATCTGGGGTCTAGCCAAGGGGTTGGCAGGGTTACATAGCAGTATTTACAGGTAGTATTTTTTTTTTTTTTTTTTAGTGGCCTTGAGCAGTTAGAGGTTAAGGTCATTTTTTTAGGAATGAGATTTTCTATCTGTTCTAACCAAGGATTGTGAAATGGCTCTTACGTGTTTTGTTTGTTTAGGATGGGGGGTGGGGGGAGGGCTTGGTCAGGTCTTGAAATCGGAGGGACTTTTGTCTGCCTGTCTGGATTAATCCCCAAGGTATCCCAGTGTTAGAACTGACACCCTATAAAGGAGATGGTCACTAAGTGGCTCTTTAACAGAGCGTGCTACCTTTTCAGGGGCCTGTGGCGCATTATTTGGTCTGCTCCAAATACGTAACCAAATTCTCAGGCCAAGAACTATAGCTTTCTGGGATGAAGGTGAACTGCTTTGTAGGACTACAAAAATTTAGACCTAGAAGAAGCTTCTGGGATCAGTTCCCTCTCTTCATTTGAGAAGATGAAGAAGCAGGTGTGGCCAGAGCAGTGACCACAAGAGCTTGCCTAAGATCGCAGTCAAGGCAGCCAAATTGATGGGAGCTGACCCTGATTTTGTGGCTCCTGTGCTGTTTCTTTCTCTTGAGTCAAGTATTCAAGAGACTTAAATGCTTCAGCATAGACTGAGAAGGGGCGGGCTTATCTGATTTCTCGTTGGCCTGTAATTCCCCCAGATCTCGCTGTGCTTGGCAACGTAAACATCATCTTAAAAAGATCAGTAGGTTGGAAGGTTTCAATCTGTGACCTGCAGGAGAGCCCTGTGGGCCGGAGCAGGAGCCAGTGGGGTGAAGGCCTGGTGCGTAGGGTCCCAGACCCTTCTGTGCCTCCACTTGGAGGGAGAGGGGCTCTGCTTTATCTTATGACCTTGGGGAGTCTTTCTGACTACAGAGGTCACCGTGAATGAGTGTTGAAACATGTTGGGGCTTATTCCGGTTTTAAAGATTTTATTTATTTATTTATTTAATATTTTATTTATTTCTAGGAGAGAGAGAGAGAGAGACAGCATGAGCAGGGGAGGGTCAGAGGGAGAGGGAGTGACAGACTCTGAAACAGGCTCCAGGCTCTGAGCTGGCAGTCAGCACAGAGCCCGACGCGGGGCCCGAACCCACGAACCGCGAGGTCATGACCTAAGCAAAAGTTGGATGCTTAACCGACTAAGCCACCCAGGCGACCCAAAGATTTTATTTTTAAGTCATCACTACCCCCCAGACCCCCCAGTGTGGGGCTCAGACCCAGAGCCCTGAGATCTCGAGTTGCGCGCTCCTCCAGCCAGGCACCCCAGGACCTACTCCAGCTTGAATGTAAAGGCCACTGCTGGTCCTGACGGGTCAGTGATTGTGGGAGAAAACACCCAGCGCTGTTTTCACCCGGGCTGTCCTGATTTCTCTGGGGCGTTAGATCTGTGGGCGTACGTGGTTTGTATTAGTCCACGAAGACCACGTCTTGCTGGCACCTGCCTTCTGTGTTTCCCCTTGACAATTGCCCCCCCTCAGCAAGTTCACACCCCTCGGCCAGGTGTCTGTCCTCCACCTCCTGCGACCGATTCAACCACTTTGCCCCACGCTGCACTTCTGGGGTTTTTGTTTTTGGTGACGGAGGGGGTCCCTTGACCTTCAGAACCTCATACAATCCCTCCTCCCCTCCCCCCCTTTCCCCTTCCCCTTTTGCCCCCTTCGATTTCCAGATGTGACAAGCTGGAGGGAGGGCGGTGGGCGAAACATAATTGCTGCCGCGTCTCTGAGCGCCTCCCCGACGGAGCTGGGCAGCAGGAACCCGAGCGCGGGAGACGGATCCCCGTCCTCGGCGTGTCCCGGCGATTCCAAGGACCCCGCTCTGCGCCCCGCTCAGCCTCTCCGAAAAGGGGCTTCACAGTTCATGGGAAACGTGTACCACCCACCCACGTACCATGACATGCTTCCTGCTTTTGTAAGTTTTTCACAGCGTGTGTATTCCCCCCTGCCCCCCCCCCCCAAAGCCGGAATGCTCGAGAAGGCGGAACCTACTCTCGCGCGGTCGACTGTCCACCTCGGTTCTCCCTCCCAGTGTCCTTGCCCTCAGAGTCCCTGCCTTGGAAGTGTCCGTCCCTTCCGTGGTTTCTCTGCCCCCTCTTCAAATCTCAAGGGTCTTCGGCTTCTTTCCCTGGGGATGTGGCTATTATTTCAGCCTTGGTTCTTTAGAGAAAGCAGAGGCAGGCCTTGCCCTCCACGCCCCAGGGCCCCAGGTTTACTTGCTGACGGCAGGAAAGAGGTGGGGGGGTGGTGGTAGGATTCGCCGGCAAGTTCCAGGATGTGCCTGCCTCTTTTCCCCCCATTTTCCTTTTTTTTCCAAAACAAAGTTCGAATGTGAGTGACACTTAGCATTTGGGCCATTACCGGAAAATCCTGTTCATTGACGTTATGTTTCAGATGTGCTCGCCACAGTCATCAGAGAACCAGGGTACCGTGGAACGAGGACCTTTCCCCCTCCCCCAGCTCCGCCTTGAGCCCCGTGTCCCTTTTAGACAGTTCCAGATGAATGACCAAGATGGGTAAGGCTGCTGCATTAATAGTCGTGTGTGTAGACACTGCCCCAGGCGGTGGGATCGCACAGCTTCGTGGGCTGGTGCGTGAAGGTGCCTTAGCTCCTGGAGACCCGCGGTGGATGTGATAACCAGCGTGGAGCTCCAGCGGGTGGGGGGTGGCTGGGAACGAGGTCGGATTCTGACGGAGTTGGAAGTTTCAGGTTGTGCTTGTCGCTCCTACGCTAGGTGTTAGTGCGGAGTACATAAAACTGAATGAGGCCGGACTCTCGAACTTGTTTGTCCCGTATAGGTTTCTTTTATTTTTTCATTATTACTGTTTCTTTTAACGTTTATTTCTGAGAGAGAGAGACAGAGTATGCGCAGGGGAGGGGCAGAGAGAGAGGGAGACACAGAAACCAATGCAGGCTCCAGGCTCTGAGCTGTCAGCACAGCCCGATGCAGAGCTTGAACCCACGAACTGTGAGATCATGACCTGAGCCAAAGTCGGAGGCTTAACCGACTGAGCCCCCCAGGCACCTCATTAAAATTTTTTAAGTTTCTTCATTTATTTTGAGAGAGACAGAGACTGTGCGAGTGGGGCAGGGGTAGAGAAAGAGGGAGACAGAATCCCCAGCAGGCTCCGTGCTGTCAGCATAGAGCCCGACGTGGGGCTCAAACTCACAAACCTGTGAGATCATGACCTGACCCGAAACCAAGAGTCGGACGCTTAGCCAACTGAGCCACCCAAGCGCCCCCTGTTACAGGTTTTTTGTTGTTGTCAAAGGAGAGGATTTAAGTATTAAATGCAGCCATGAACCTTTGCAATGTTGGACTTATTTTTGGAAAAGTATTGGCTTTTGCTTCCATCTGTGTACTTGACATGAGGCCAGATCTTTACTCTTCTCGCCCTCGGCAGGAAAGAAAGCAGGCTGGGAACGACTCGGCCCATGCGCCCGCTGAGGCAGCTGGTGGGACGGGCGCCGCGGCCCACGATCATCAACGCAGAAAACCTGAAGGGCCTGGACGACCTGGACGCCGACGCTGACGACGGCTGGGCAGGTGCGTTGTGGGGCTCTCGGGGCTGGGGTCGCCTCTGCTCTCCCGGGCTGAAAGCCCCCGGCAGCACGCTGCGTGCCCCTCAGCCACCTCGCCGGTGAGGACTTCCTCACTGAGCACTGTCCCCCACTGGTCTTCTGTCTTGATCTCGGATCCATGGGAGATTTTGTTCACTTGCCAAAAAGACTTTTTGGGATGGGAAAGCTGAACAGAACTGTAGATGGGGTGATGAGCCCCCAGCCTCCCATCGCTTGGCTCCAGCAAGTACCACGCCCCGTCTGCCAACCTGATTGTTTTCTCTTAAATTCCTGTTTATTTGCGTTCGCGTACGTGTTAATTCCACTGCCCATGTTAACAATGCGGTTTTGACCAGTGGATACGTGTGCGCCGGCCCCCCTGCCCCACCTCTTCCCGGGGCCTCCCCCTACTGAGGGCAGTTCCCTTCTGCGCAGGGCGATCACGGTTCCCTTCAGTCAGTGCCCAGCGGTGGAGCTGTTAGGTCAGAGGGAACTTGTGCGGTCAGGCCTCTGAGACCCACCTAAACCTTCCTCCACGGTGGCTGTGGGGGAAGCGGGGTCCCCTGCGGCCTCACGACACTTCCACGTGATTAGTCTTTTTAATTTTAGCCGTTCTAGTGGGTGTGTCGTGGTGTCTCCTTGTGCTTTACATTTGCATTTCGCCGATGACTAATGGTGATGAACGAGTTTTCTTGTGTTATTTTATTCGGCTCCGGGTATATTTTCCTTTCTCTTTTTGAGCGGTGGGTTACAAGTAAGTCATGGACATGAGTCGTTGGCCACTTATGTTTTACAAATAATTCCCCCCTTGCTTGCCATGTCGGTTCATTTTTTTTTTTTTTTTTAGCACCGTTTTAACAAGCAGAAGTTTTTTTATTTCCATGAAGGTTAATTTATGTTTGTATTTTTTTTTTTATGGTTCTTTCTTTTGCATCCTATCTGAAAGTCTTTGTCTCCCCTTGACAGCAAAGAAATTCCCTTATTTTCTAGAGTCTCAGCTCTTGTTTTTGGGTCTCTGATTTACGTTGAATTAACTTTGGTGCAGAAGCCAGGAGTTGAGGCTTGTTTTAATCCCTAAGGATATCCCGTTCTGCACTGTTAGTTGGGAGGACTTCCCTCTGCCTATTGAATTGCTTTGGCACATTTGCCAAAAATCAACGGACCAGGTAAGGGTGTGGGTCTATTTCTGGGCCCTGTTTGTGTCCTCAATGTATTGATTCATTCAGGCCACCACCACACTGTCGCTCTATAATAAGCCTTAAAAGTTCAGGTAGCCTAAGCTTTCTGGCCTTGTTTCCTTTCATGATTATTTGACTACAGGGTCTTTTCATTCCCATATAAATTTTGGATCAGCCTGTAAGTGTTCACAAAAAGCCTGAAGGCATTTTGGGTAGGACTATGTTGACTGTGTTTCTGGATAACTCATACCTCGAATCTTCCATCCGGGAACTTGTGCGAATCTCTGACTTCCCTCAGCTCTGTTTCAGTTTTCAGTGTGGAGGTCTTGAACATCTTCTGTTGAGTTTATTCCTAAGTAGGGTGTGTTGTTTGGATGCTGATGTAAATAGCATTGACTTTTTTTTTTTTTTAATGTTTTTTTATTTATTTCTGAGAGAGAGAGAGACAACGTGAGCAGGGGAGGGTCAGAGAGAGAGAGAGAGATAAAGAATCTGAAGCAGGCTCCAGGCTCTGAGCTGTCAGCACAGAGCCCGATATGGGGCTCAAACCCACAAACTGCGAGATCGTGACCTGAGCCGAAGTCGAATGTACAACCGACTGAGCCACCCAGGTGCCCCAGCATTGACTTTTTTAAAATTGTAATTTATTTTTTATGTTGGGTGTTCTGTAGACAATACAGTTGATTTGTGTGTGTGGACCTTGTTCTAGACACTTTGCTGAAACACTCAGTTTTATGAGTTTTTGTTGATTTCTTAGAATGTCTAAGATTTTTTTTTTTTTTTTTTAGGGGGAAAGAGCGAAAGAAGTATACGCATGTGCACAAGTGGGGGAGGAGGAGAGGGAGGGAGAGAATCCCAAGCAGGCTGCACGCTCAGTGTGGAGCCCACGAGGTGCTCGCGTTCCCCACGACCTGAACTGAAATCAAGACTCAGATGCTTAAATCGACTGAGCCACCAGACGCCTCAATTTCTTAGAATTTTCTACATAAACCATCATGTTGCCTATAAATAGGGATGGTTTTGTGTTTCCTTTTCAGATTATATGCCTTTTGTTTCTTTTTTTAAGCTTTTTTTTTTTAAATGTTTATTTTTGAGAAAGAGAAAGTGCTAGTGGGAAAGGGGCAGAGGGAGAGGGAGACACAGAATGCGAACCAGGCTCCAGGCTCTGCGTTGTCAGCACAGGGCCAGACGCGGGGCTTGAACTCACAAACCCGAGATCGTGACCTGAGCCAAAGTCGGACGCTTAACTGATTGACCCACCCAGGCGCTCCATACCTTTTATTTCTTGCCTGAATGCTACAGTGTGGAACTTCCAGTAAAGTGTTGTGTTCAAGATCTTTGTTCCTGATCTTGGGGAGAAAGTGTTTAGTGTTTCACCGTTAAATCTGATGTCAGCTGTAGGGTTTTGGGTGTTCTTTATCAGATTGAGGGTTTCCTTGTATTTCTAGCTTGTTGAATGTTTTCTGAATCACAAAGGGTATTGAATTTTGTTAAATAACTTTTCCTGTGCTGTGATCATAAGATTTTTCTCCTTTGTTTTGGTAATCTGGTGGCTTGCATGGATTTCATTTCTCTTTTCTTTTCTTTTCTTTTCTTTTCTTTTCTTTTCTTTTGTTTCTCTTTCTTTCTTTTTTTGTAGAGTGTAGGTGAGTGGGGAAGAGGGGCAGGAGGAGAGTGGGGGAGAGAGAGGAAATAAAAGAGTGAGAGAGAGCGCAATATTCCAAGCAGGCTCCATGCTCAGTGTTCAGTCTGATGCTGGGCTCAATCCCATGACCCCTGGGATCATGAGTGGAGCAGAAATTGAGAGTTGGAAGCTCAACTGACTGAGCCATCCAGGCGCCCCCACACTAATTGATTATTTTAATGCTAAACCAATCTTGCATTCCAAGAATAAGCTCTACCTTTTTGTATGCAGAGATTCGATGTGCTGATATTTTATTAAGGTTCTTGTCTTCTGTGTCCGTGGTGAGTATTGGTCTCTAATTTTCTTTTTTTAAAGTATCTTTGTTAGGCTCATGAGTTGGAAAATGTTCCTTCTCTACTTTCTGAAAGTGTTTCTATAAGTTTAGTATTATTTCTCCCATGAATGCTTGATAGAATTCACCAGTGAAATAATTAGGCCCTGGTGTTTTCTTTGTGGTGACATTTGTGAAAATAAGTTTAATTTCTTTGAGTAGTTAACATGGCTGCTCAGATTTCCTTTGTTGTTTTGTGTCAGTATCTGGTAAGTTGTGTTTTTCAAGAGATTTATTTGTTTTTTATGATTGAATTTATTGGTATAAAGCTGTTGATAGCAATTCCTTTTCCTTTTGATGTCTGTAGGCTCTGTAGTGTTGGACCTCTTTCGTTCCCAGTAATTGGATAATTTGTATTCTTTTTCTTCTGCCAAGGGCTTATGGTTTTGTTAATCTTTTACTAAGAGGCAGTTTGGAGCTTTCATTTTCTCCATTGTTGGATTGTTTTCTGTTTCATTTTATCTGTTCGTTTTAATTATTGGGGCTCTCTAGATTTCTAATATAATTCCATTGCAGTCAGAGAGCATACGCTGTATGACTTCAGTTCTTTTCAGCTTACGGAGACTTGTTTTATGATGAAGAAATGATCTTTCTTCATGAATATTCCAAGTGCATTTGAAGAGAATGCGTATTCTAAAGTTGTTGATTATTACGTTCTGTAAATCTCAATTTAGTCACTATCAAGGTTGTGCAAAGTGTCTTTCAGATCTTACATAGGTACTAATATTTTTCTCTGGTCCTCTTGGTTACTGAAAAGGAAACATTAAATTCTCCACTGTGACAGTGGATTGATCTGTTTCTCCCTTTAATTCTATCATTTTCTGCTTCATTGATTTCGAAGCTGTTATGAGGCATATATGTACATTCACAGTTTTTATGAGTGACACATTGACCCTTTGTATTATTTTCAGATGTCCTTTATCACTGGAAGTGCTTCTTGGAGTCTGTCTTGTCGTTTGTTGCTATTATTGCTCTAGTATAAACGCGTATCTTTTCTTTTTTAAATCCTTTTGCTTTCAACCCATTTGTGTGTGTATTTAACTGATGGTCTAGTAGCTGCCCTTGCTTTTTCGTCAAATCTGCTTTGTAATTGTGTTGAACTTTTTACCTTTTTTCAGAGATACAGCGCATGTAACAAATTGCATATACCATAAAATGTACCCTTTGAAAGGCTGCAATTCAGTGATTTTTAGTATATTGACAAGTGTGTGCTACCATTTCCCCTGCTGGGTTCGAGAACACTTCCGTCACGCACTGAAGCAGCACTGTATCATTAACGGTTCTCTCGCTCACCCCATCCCCGCACACATCCTCTGGGACCACTGAGCTACTTTCTGTCTCTGTAGTTTTGCTTATTCTGGACATTTCATATAAACGGAGGCACACAGTGTGGTACGTGATGGAAGCACACAGTGTAGTACATGGCCTTTCACGTCTGGCTTTTCTCATGGAGCTTGTTTTTCAAGGTTCGTCGTGTCGAGGGGGTGTGTGCATTCATTTTTATGGCCAAAGGACTCTTCTTCTGTGTGGATCTCCCACGACTGGTGTGCCCGCGTGTCAGCTGATGGGCACTTTCTGCCCTTGAGCTGCTCGGGTGCGGGGGTGCCCCAGGGCACCTCACACAACACAGCAGCAGCTCACACATCCCACCGGCCAAGCCTCTGTGTTGCCGGATCGGGTGCCTGTCTGGTTTTGTCTGCTTTCGCTCTCTCTTCAGCACCTTCTAATACGTTTATCACATGCTCTGTCCAGATTTAAGAACTGTTCTCTATGGGAAAGTTGATCTGACCGGGTTGCCTAGCTGTCACCTGAAGCCGGAGCTGTCCCTCACTTTATCCGCAGGCTCTGGCTGGGTGGCCCTCCTCCTCGGTTGGGCCGGGACGAGCCCCGACTGGAGGAAGCCCCCCCCGCCCCCCGCACTTTGGTGCTCATAGCACTGCTGAGACTTGGCTTTGCCCTGGCCCTCCCCCATTGCAGGCCTTCACGAGGAAGTGGACTACTCTGAGAAACTCAAGTTCAGCGATGACGAAGAGGAGGAGGAGGCTGGGAAGGACGGCAGACCGAAGTGGTAAGGACGCCCCCAGCCCTGCCCGTGGCGCCGTTCCCCGGGACTTGACCGTGTTGTCGGTGCCTGGCACCAGGCCGGGTGCATCGCTCGTCGCCCCGGCAGCCTCACTGGGGCGGATTTGGTTTCCATTCTGCGGATGGGGCAGCTGTGCGGGACGGGAGCCAGGGTGCGCGTCCGGCATGGTTGGCTGGCGGGCTGGCTGCGTCCTTGAGGTTTGAACCACCGTGCCGGTGTTCTCCTGAGCGCGCGTGTACACCACGGGTTCCACAGATGACTTCCGTGGGCGTGGCGCCCAGAAAGGGTTCTCTGGCCAAGCAGGTTTAGGAAAACACCGGGGTTCAACTCACTGCTTTACTCCGGGGTTGTGCGTGTTAGAGCACATCCGGGATCTGGGGAGAAGCCCCGTGCGGGAGGTGCCAGGTCTCCTGAGCTTACTCGACCCCCTCAGTCTTCTCTTTTCTGGATCATTTCATTGGGTTCATTTTACTTACGATGCCTTTTGGAAAATACTTCATTGTAGGTGGTGCCTCTGGTTTTTGTCATAATATTAGTAGAATGATTGGCCAGGACTTTTTATTTATTTTTTTTAAGTTTCTTTGTTTTGAGATAGTGCGTGAGCAAGGGAGGGGCAGAGCGAAGGAGAGGGAGAGAGGGAGAATCTCCATCCGGCTCTGTACTGTCAGCACGGAGCCTGAAGTGGAGCCTGATGCGGGGCCCGAACTCACAAACTGTGAGATCATGACCTGAACCGAAATCAAGAGTCAGATGCCTAGCTGACTGAGACAACCAAGTGCCCTATTTTTACTATTTTTAGAGTAAACTGCACCCTTAATGTGGGGCTCAGACTCCCAATCCTGAGATCAGGAGTCACACTCTTTATACACTGAACCAGCCAGGTGTCCATGGCTAGTACTTTTTATTTATTATTATTAAAAAAAATTTTTTTTAACATTTTATTTCTGAGAGAGAGAAAGAAAGAGAGAGAGAGCGTGAGCAGGGGAGGGTCAGAGAGAGAGGGAGACACAGAATCTGAAACAGGCTTCAGGCTCTGAGCTGTCAGCACAGAGCCCAATGTGAGGCTCAAACCCATGAACCATGAGATCATGACCTGAGTTGAAGTCGGATGTTTAACCGACTAAGCCACCCAGGCGCCCCAGTACTCTTTAAATAGTACCTATGGCTGCTTTAATTTGACTTTTATTTGTTTGTTTGTTTGTTTGTTTAGAATACCAGCAAATAGGAGTGCTTTCTTTTGTATTCAATTGCCTATGTCCTTTGTATATTTATTAGACTTAACTGTATTTCTTTTAAAATGTGATTAACTTTATATATTTAGGTATTAATGCTTTGATGCTTTTCCTTTTTAAGTTTTTTTCTTTTTTTAATGTTTATTTATTTTTGAGTGAGACAGACAGGCAGAACACGAGTGGAGGAGAGGCAGAGAGAGAGGGAGACACAGAATCCGAAGCAGGCTCCAGGCTCCAAGCTGTCAGCACCGAGCCTGACATGGGGCTCGAACTCACGAACTGTGAGATCATGCCCTGAGCTGAAGTCAGACACTCAACTGACTGAGACACCCAGGCGCCCCTTGATTTTTCCTCTTGTCTATTTTATTGTCCATAACTGTTTACAGAGCCAAGTCTGCGAGTCTTGTTTTTGTTTGTTTGTTTGTTCTGTTTCGTTTTGTTGTTATTCGATGTTCCTCACTTCAAAGCCCTTCCAGAGGGAGCTGGTAGTGACCTTCTGCTATTTTTTCTCTGATACACAAACAGTTAACTAATGGAGGCCTCTCTAATTTATTTTAATGTTGTGTGATTTTTAACTGAAGTTTTGGATGCACTTGGGAAATATCTTGTGGGTCAGTTCTTGGAACACTAAGCTCAGAAGGGATTGTGAGCAAGAATTTAAATCGAAGGCAAAGACATAAAATTTTACCGACTTCTGGAATAGCAGGACAGCCTGTCCTCGTTGTCTCTTTCCGTTGATGTGAAGTGAATATTCAGCTGAAAGAGTTAGGCATGGATTTGGACGCAGCTTTGCTACCATGACCGAGGACGTGTCAAATTGAGAGTCCCCAAACCACCCCCCACCCCGCCGAACCTGACCTTTTCTTGGTGTTCTTTGAGTTCGTTGTGAGTCTTCTCCTCCAGGCTCTCAGGTCTTCCTTACATCTTGTCTCCCACCCGCGACGGGCTCCTGACCCTTCCTGGGTCCCATCCCTTCCGGGTCACGGGACCACATCCTTTCTTTCCCGGACCCCGCAGGGGCCAGCCGGCTCGCCCCCTGCCTTCCCACTGTGCCCTCGTCGTCTTTCCTGGTGGGTCCGGAGCCGGGTGGTTTCAGCGCCTCCCAAGGTGACTTCGGGAGGCACTCGCATCTCCCCTCCACCCTGTCCACGCGTGTGTGCGTGGACGCACGCAGACACGCACGTACTGGCCACACCTGACTCCCTGCTTTTGTCGGAACTCCTGGGTGGGTGCTGGGCACTTGTTTTGCATAAAAGAGGTGCTTGGTGAGTGCGCCCGCGTGCCTTCCCCCAGCGCTTTGTTTCCCGGCGGCAGGTAAAGGGGAGCGGGGCGCACATCTCCCTTCCCTTCGAGCCTCCGTTTGGAACCGCTCTCTTTTCTCGCGTTGCGTCTGCTTTGCCTTCCTCCTCTTGGTCTCTGTGTTGGCATCGTTCAGGGCTCCGTCCTTGGCCGTTTTGAGGAAAATCGATGGGGCCCGTCCTCTGTGCAAAGCGCAGGGAAGGAGCCCTAGGAGGAGGACAAGGACCTGCCTCTGGGGCCCTAGGTTCCCCCCTCCCCCCCCCCGGGAAGACAGCCCCCCAGCCCCTCCGAGACTCCGTGTCCAGCCATTTAAAATGGGGGTGAGGACTCGTTTTCCCGCAAACCGAGTACTGGGTGGGAAACATCCTGCCCGGAGCTTTGTGTGGAAGAGGGACTCGGTAAATGGTGGTGCCGGATTTTGGTGTTCTGGGCGTGTGCTGTCACCCGTGAGGAGCTGCCTGGGTCTGTTCGAGGGACGGACACTGGTATGTGGACAGCTGGCTTGGGAAGCCCTGCGGCCCCGTGATGGGGAAGATCAGACCACGCTCGGCCTGCCTGGAGAACTCATGCTCCCTGCGGTTTCTCCTAGGAACAGCTGGGACCCCCGACGGCAGCGGCAGCTGTCCATGAGCTCTGCGGACAGCGCCGACGCGAAGCGTCCCCAAGAGGAGGGGAAGGACTGGGGCGAAGCAGGGGGCGTGGCCCGTGTCATCCGGAAAGTGCCAGAACCGCAGCCACCTTCTAGGAAGCTTCATGGCTGGGCATCTGGCCCAGACTACCAGGTACCGTGGGCGCTGGCGGGCTTCCGCGCATGGGCTTAGCTCGGGAGGTGCACACGGGTACATAGAAGTCCTCGCCGCGTTATAATTTAAAAAAAAAAATTCTTTTAAAATTTGAAACAGTTACAAATGCACAGAAAAGTGGGAAGCGCAATGCAAAGAATATTTTTCTCTGAACCGTTTGTAGAGTCCGTTGTCAGGCCCTGTCACGGCAGGTCCCGTTGGGTCAATTTTCTACCTCCCGGGGAACTACCTTGGTCAGAACCAGGAAGTTAGCGTGGATCCAACACTGCCCTCTGATCCTCAGACCCCGTCCGCCTTGTATCATTTGTCCCGTGGAATGTTCCGGAAGAATCTGGGTCAGAGTCACATACCACCTTCAGTCTAGGATAGCCCCTCCGCCTTCCTTAACTTTCATGACTCACACACTTTGAAAGCAAGTTGTTTTGTAGAACGCGCTCCAAGTGGGGTTTATCTGGTGCTTCCTCATGATTAGGTTCAAGGTTTCCATTTTTGGCTAGAATCTCTCAGAAGTGACGCCAACTCTTATTTCATCCCACCAGGTAACCGTGATTCCACTCTGTCCACCTGCTGACAATCTTCACTCTGATCTCTTGACTAAGGTTATAATGTCTGCTAAACGTCACATTGTAGGGTTTTTCTCTTCCACATTCATAATTGATCAGAAGTTTGTGGGGAGATACTTTGAAACTATGAATATCCCATTTCTCATTAAACTTCAAGTTTCTTTATTTAAAAAGTTTTTTTAATATTTGAGAGGGAGACAGTGTGAGTGGGGGAGGGGCAGAAATAGAGGGAGACACAGAATCCGAAGCAGGCTGCAGGCTCTGAGCTGTCAGCACAGAGTCCAACATGGGGCTCGAACTCACAAACTGTGAGATCATGACCTAGGCTGAAGCCAGATGCTTAACCGACTCAGCCTCTCATGTGCCCCTCAAATTTATTTGTTTATATCAGTGGATTATAATCTGTTCCTCTCATTGTTTTGAAGCCCCAAGTATTTTTGTTGTGAGCCTTCTCAGGCTGGTGTCTGTCCTTATTCCTTACGCGTCTCCATCCTTATTGAGCAAATCCCTTGCTCTCTGATTAGACAAGCTTTTTTAAAAGATGTTTTATTTCTGAGAGAGAGAGAGAGAGAGAGAGAGAGAGAGAGAGAGAGGGGCAGCGTGAGCAGGGGAGGGTCAGAGAGAGAAGGAGACACAGAATCTGAAACAGGCTCCAGGCTCTGAGCTAGCTGTCAGCACAGAGCCCGACACGGGGCTCGAACCCACAAACTGCGCGATCGTGACCTGACCCAAAGTCAGACGCTTAACCAACTGAGCCACCAAGGTGCCCAAAAGGTTTTCTTTTTTTTCTTTTTTTCTTTCAAAAAAAAAAAAAAATTTTTTTTTAATGTTTATTTTTGAGAAAGAGCATGAGTGGGGGAGGGGCGGAGAAAGAGTGACACACAGAATCCGAAGCAGCTCTAGGCTCTGAGCTGTCAGCACAGAGCCCGATGCAGGTCTTGAATTTACCAACTGTGAGATCATGACCTGAGCCGAAGTCGGACGGTCAACCAACTGAGCCACCCAGGGGCCCCCCCAAAATTTTTATGTTTTTGTTTTTTGTTTTAAGTAAGCTTTATTTACACCCAGCATGGGGCTTGAACTCATGACCCTGAGATCAAGAGCTGCACATTCTACCTTCTGAGCCAGCCAGGCTCACCAGGAGCAGCTTTTCTAAGCTCATTTTGTCCTTCCCCTGCCTTGGTCTGGAATCTGCCCTTAGGATATTTAGAAGCCAGCCTGTGGTCACCAGGTGCTCATTGCTCCTGGGCGCTCTGGGTGGACAGAGTGAGGAAATGTGTGCGTACACGTATACACACGTCCGTGTCTTTATCACTCCCGTGTCTGTGTGGACAGCCATGAGTCCGTGGTCCAGCCGAGGCCTCTCCCACTGCGTACCCGTAACTGCCCTCTCCGGCAGTGGGACGTGTGTTCCCGTTGTCCCCGGCATTCACACCTACTCCGTCCGTCCCCCATGTGTGACCAGTCTCCCACTTCTCCCCCAGCCTGTCTCCCTCGCAAAGGTGCCCTCCTCCCTCCCTCAGCTGTCAGTGTCCTTGCCCCAGCCCCACGGGGGCCCCGGATCTCCCCGCTGGGCCACCTCTCCTTATGTATTCCCTCCTCACCCAGCCTGGTGGGGCTCTCAGCCCCCCACCAGCCGTGTCTCCACGCAGACGCCCTCCTTGCCCTGCCTGGGCTCTGACCACATGCTCGTAGCTACCATGAGTCTCTGGTGCCAGACGCGCCGCCCTCCAGGACTTCACGGCTTCGGGACTGAGGTGTGCAGGAGGCGCGGTGTTGGGGTAGGAGAGGCATTGATTTGAAGATAACTTGGCAAAAAATAAAACAAACCAAAACTTGCCTTTTTTTTTTTTCTTTTTTTTTTCTGAGAGAGAGAGAGAGAGGGAGCGAGAGAGGGAGGGAGCTCGAGCAGTGGAGGGGCAGGGGGGGAGAGAGAGAGAGACAGAGAGAGAGGGAAATCTTAAGCAGGCCCAGCATGGAGCCCAACTCATTGCTCGATCTTACAACCGTGAGATCATGACTTGGGCTGAGATCAAGAGTCAGACCCTTAACTGACTGAGCCCCCCCCAGGTGCCCCAAACTTGTCATTTTTCATGCACTTTGCCATTTAAGGGACTCTGGTTCCATATCTTATAAAGTGAAAATAACCTGTATCTTCAGGGTTTTTTTTTTTTAATTAAAAAAAAATTTTTTTTTTTTTTAAATGGAGAACAAGGCACTGTGCAAGGTACGGGGGAAATAGAAAAGAAACAAAATTTTTTTGACACAGAGCTAGAGCACCTGGCTGACTCAGTCAGTTAAGCATCTGACTCTTGATTTTGGCTCAGGTCAGGACCTCACAGGTTCATGAGATCAAGCCCAGTGTTGGGCTTGGGATTCTCTCTCTCTCTCTCTCTCTCTCTCTCTCTCTCTCAAGTAAATAAACATTAAGAAAAAATGGACACAGAGCTATTCTTGAAATCACCGTGCAGTTAATCTAAATTTCACTCATATATTGAGGTTGGTCAGTATTCAAAGAAGGTTTCATTTCGATCTGTTCCTGGGAACACTGAATGACCTGAGTCAAGAAAGGAAAAATATAATCGTATGCATTCAGGTTTCTGAAAAGTTCAAATATTTTTTACAGTGTGGAGCCTGTTAAATGGTAGCTCCCGTTAGGGCAGTTCAGAAGGGCACGTTGGAAGTCTCGATGGAAGCATTCATACGCTTTGAATGCTGCTCATTCCTCCCTGGGAGCGTTGGGGGGGTGGATGATAGTGAATCTCTACCGCGCCACCGTGCACGGCATTAGAGAGCAACGGACAGGGCTGGTCAAGGGCAACGTGAAGGGAAAGTGCACGCTTCAGCCCCAGTTACGTTGTGTGAAAGTACTTAACATGCCTCCAAGTTAGAAGCTCCTGATCTTTGACAGTCGTCCCTGTTGTCTCTGGATTAGAAGTCAGCTTTCAGGAGCAAAGTCCTTGACTGCGGTAAACGTGCGGCACAGGGCTTTTGTGGAGGGTTCGGGACCATACCAGCGAAGGCCCAGTCCTGGTTCGTTTATGTTTGAGGACTTGTGACAGTCCTGTGGGTCGGTGTCACTGGCACTCAAGAGTGGGAAGCTGTGTGTTGTGATGATGGTCACCTCGCCGGAGTTCCCATGGCCGGGGGTTGGCTGGACTTGGCCGTGGTCTGTGCTGTTGCATATTCTTCGTGCTCCCTGCAGACCAGGGAGAAGCCTGCCTGGTGTGGAGTGGGCTTCCCACTGTTGCTGGCCAGTAACTGGCCACCAGTGAGCGACTCAGAAGTGGGTGACATCGCCAGAAGAGGTGTTTTTAGATGAAGCGTCCCTTTGTAACCTTTAGTCTCACTGCTTTTTAACTTTTCATACCTCTTTGTTCCCAGAGGCTTCTGTATTTTTATGGGAGAAAGACTAGAGCCGTTTTGCCACTCGAGGCAGGAGTGTGTGGTCCCTCCTCCCGTCCGCTAGCCGTGGACGCCCTAATCCTGTGTGCCCGTTAGTAGTGGCGGGGGCGCCCGGGTGCTGTTTCCCAGGTCGGTCACTGTGCAGAGCATTGTGCACCTCCTTCCTTGCACACCCGCCGTCCCGATGGCCTCCTGTGTCCCCAGCTTACACGTGGGGAGCTAAGGGAGAGAAGGCTGGCGCTTGCCCGACCCCACTGCCGGCTGGGACAGGGCCGGGCAGGATGGAAACCCAGGTCCAGCGAGCGCGTGACTGCTGCTTCTTGAAGCTGCCCAGGGGTCCTGGGAAGGAGACTGGATCCCGCGGTGGGGGTGGAGGGGCTGGGGGGCGCGTCTCCCGGGTTTGGGGCCTGTCGTCCCAGCAGACTTGGTTCTCTTGGCAGAAGCCCTCGCTGGGCAGCGTGTTCCGGCAACAGTCTGTCGAGGACAAAGAGGAAAAGCCCGCCCCGCGGCAGAAGTTCGTGCAGTCGGAGATGTCCGAGGCCGTGGAACGGGCCCGGAAGCGGCGGGAGGAGGAGGAGCGCCGAGCCCGGGAGGAGAGGCTGGCCGCCTGCGCCGCCAAGCTCAAGCAGCTGGACCAGAAGCGTAAGCAGGCCCAGAAGGCGGCCGAGGCCCCGAAACCGGCGGAGAAGGAAGTGCCCCGGTCTCCGGGCACCGAGAAGGCGTCCCCGCAGGAGAATGGCCCTGCTGTCCGCAAAGGCAGGTGCTGGGCCCCCGTCCCGCGAGCTGGGCACCCTGGGCTCTTTGCGCCACCCTGTCTTCCTAGCTGGCCGGTGGTGCCCAGCTGCGGGTGCTGGGAAGCACCGGCCTGGGCCCACATCCCGTTTCAGGTTCTAGAACCGGCTGACTATGGCCCCTCACCTCCCTGGTGCCCGTTTCCTCATCTGTAAAATGGGCCAGAATTAGTGTGCCTCTTCTCCACATGCCGAGGGGCATGTGACATAACGTACGGAAGGTGCCTCGTGCAGCTTCTGGATACGCAAGGTGCGCGCGCTACCCACTCCGTTGCCCTTCTGTGTGTCGTCACCGTTCTCGTCCCTGCTGCTGCTCACCCAAAGATGCGGGTGGGGGAGGGCCTTCATATAAGCACAGGGTCCTTTGAGTTCATTTAAGAAAATCACACATTGGGACGCCTGGGTGGCTCAGTAGGTGAAGCGTCCAGGTTTTGATATCTGCTCAGGTCATGATCTCTGGGTTCATGGGATTGAGCCCGGAGTTGGACTCTGCGAGTCTGCTTGGGATTCTGCAACCCGCCCCTCCTTTGCGTGTGCTCGGGCATGTACACACACTCCTTCTCGCAAAAAGGAAGGAAAAAAAAATCACCAAGTACCTTTGTGACATTGGGAGAAGCCTGCTCGTTAGAGTACGTTTCTCTTGGCCTTACTTCTGAGAGGGATGGGTCTTGTGGCCCCATAAGAGAAGTTGGGTAGCACCGCATGACGGAGGGTGTCTGGTAGCGGTTGTAGAGTGCTGTTGGCTTTGTTCTTTGCGACCTTCTTAAATGAACTAAACACAGCTCTTTAGGAGAGAAGGCCCAGTGTTAGTTTCAGGCCCTGAAAGCTGCTCAGGTGGGTCATGTTCATGGTCGTGGTCTGCTGGTCCTCAGCCCCCTTCTGGCCAAGGAACTCTGAGAAACTGACCACTGTCCTGCCCATCACCCCCCACTGGGGCCCGAGTGCGGCCCGCGCTGGGTCTCCGTGCTCGCTGAGACGGGCAGCGGAGAGTCCAGGGAGTGGGCGCCGTGGTGGGAGCGTGGTCTTCGGGGTGGGCCTGGGGGCTGCGTGCACCCCTGTCCCGTGCTCCCCTTGCGCTGCACGGCCCGGTCCCTGAGGCTTTGCGTGGGGGTTGGGTTGTTCCCTGCAGTAAAATGAAGAATGCCCTTGTCACTGCTACTTCAGTAAAGCTGAAAGAGGGAAAAAAAAGAGTAAAGCTGGGACTGGGCAAGGGAGAGGGACTTTCCGAGCGAACGCAGATGGGGATTGTGTCAAGCACTTGCTACTGGCCAGGCAGTGTTTTAAAAAAGTGCCTTGCGTGGATCGTCTCGCTGGAGGCTCACAGAGGCCTGTGGGGCGGACAGAGTCGCTGTTCTCTCTTTACAGATGAGGCCACCGGCCAGGGGAGGCGCGGTGACTTGCTGGCCACACGGCCTTCGGCTGCGTTGACTCGCGGCACTCGGGTGTTGGATGTGGGTCATGGCCCAGCTGGTGGTTGCTCCCATTTATTGGCAAGGGGTCCTTGTCGTGAGACCCTTTCTCACCCTGAACCTCTGGTGGTTCACCCGACCCCTCGACCCTCAGCTCTCTCGCCTCCAGCGTGATGGCGTGGTGGGGAATCCGTGAGCTCACGCACCTGCCGTGCCGACAAAGACAAACGTTTGCTGCACACGTCTGGCTGGCCCGGCTCCGGGGAGCTCACCGCTGCCGTCTCTCTCCTACTTGTCCTCTAGGCTCCCCTGAGTTTCCTGCCCAGGGAGCCCCCAGCACGTTTTCTGAAGAAGCCCCTGCAGCCCCTCCGGCTGTGGCTCAGAGCAGCAGCAGCAGCGAGGAGTGCGCCAGGGAGGCCGGGTCCCCTGCACAGGAGTTCAGCAAGTTCCAGAAGTCGCTCCCTCCCAGATTCCAGCGCCAACAGCAGCAACAGCAGCAGCAGCAGCAGCAGCAACAGCAGGTAAACAGAAGGTCACTTGTTGCCCTAAACAGATCTGACTGTGGAGTGGATGCCCCTCCCCCGGTCCCTCCCCCTTCGATGTAAAGACACAACTCGAGTACGCCCATCACTGGCACGGATGTCAGGAGCTGCACCTGAAAACTTAGGGCCTTGGAAGAAGAGCCCTGGCTGTTTCTCGTTTTTCTGAGCGGTTTCTCCTGTGGGTGAATAGCGCTGCGGTTGTTGCAGCATCTTGCCTGGCCTGGCGCTGGTGCGGCGGTGTTAGAGGCGTGCGCGCTCACTCAGTGCAGTTTGGCTGAAGGGTGGTGTTTTCATGCGGAGCAGCGCACCGTGGCCTCTCCTTAGGCCAGCGATGCCCACCCTGGGACCTTGCCAGGGAGTGAGGAGGCCCGGGGGCACTTGGAAAGCTGGCAGAGAGCTGTGCTAGCTCTGGGTTAAGGATGGAGGGAGGTTCGTAGGTGTTGAGTTGAACTGCTGTACGTTCTGAGCCTAACTGTGCGGCTTCTCTGGTCGGGTGTGGCCTCTGATGGGCTGGGAGCAGCGAATCCCAGCCTCCGAGTGGCAGTGAGGGGCTTGTGGCACCTGCAGTGTCGTTTACCAGCATGACCGGTGTCTCTTTATCGGTGTTCCATGAGCTTTCAAAGGGACCTGCTCTTCTCCCCGGAGAAGAGTCCGGGGCTGAGGGGTGTGACCGTACCGATCTCTGGTGGCCAGCTCACAGCGCTGTTGGCCATGACATGTGTGTCCCAGGAGCGCTAAATGCAGGGCCAGGGGATTACGGACAAGCAGTGCACTTGTGGGGGAAACGGATGAAACATGGACATCACGTGGCCCCGCAGCGAGATGTGCAGTAAATCGTTCTTGATGGCAGCCAGCCTGGTTGAGAACGTGTGCACCTTAGGGAAACAGATCAGGATCTCCAGCCTTTTTGGGGATCTCACTTAGTTGCCTATAAAACCTTCACCCCAGACCCTCCTTCCGGAAGCTCATCAGGTCCTGAGCTGTAAACACGAAGCTGCGTCCCTCGTGTGTTTTGACGGTGTCACGGCGTGAGCCAGCATCATGTGGCTGTTCGCCGGCTTGGTGGAGAACCACTGATCGGGGGCGTCTTGGCGTGACCCCAGCCAGACACGGCAGTGAGAGCTCCTCTGTGTAGCGCTTCTGGGGGGCAGGGGCGGGGAAGTCCTTCCTTAGGAAGGGAAAGGTGTCTGAAGGCACCAGGATGGCCGAAGGAGCCTTTTAGCCAGACTGTCTCTGGTCAGGTTCCCTGGGGGCCCGGGGAGGGAGGAGGGGGAGCTCTGGGCGGAGGCCCCCAGCCGAGAGCTGTGTTTTGTGAGTGCTGGTGGGCGCTCACGGAGCCATCCAGCCATCTGCGGAGTCCAGCCCGGCCCTCGTTCACAGATGGGAAGGGTGTGGCCGGGTCTGCTTTTCCTGTCTGACTACACCTGCCTCCTGCCAAGATACTGATTCTGAGTGCCCTTGAGGGGGCTGCCCCGGAGGTCACTGATGGGAGGGCCAGGGCTGGAAATGAACCCTCCCTGGGTCTAGGACCAGCTCTTGAAGGTTTTGCTGATGTTCATCCATTTATACACTGAGTTTTCTGTGTGCCGTGGCTGGCGGTAGGCTGTGAGGATACGACAGTGAACTTGGTGTGGAGTCGCTTATGGTTTTGTGAGGGGGACCAGCGGCACAAAATGATCACCCATTGTTAGTGCTGCAGAGAAGGACCAGTGTTGCAGAGCAGAGGGAGGGCAGAGTTTTAAGCAGAAACCCGAAGGAAGAGCAGGGGTGGCCCGGGGTGGAGGCAGCAGGAAGCCTCCGAGACGGAGGGCCCAGTGTGCGGCCAGGGCCCTGGGTGGGCAGGCAGCCGTGTGCGGGGCCGCTAGTGGCTAGTGGGGCGGGTCACGTGGGGCCTGTTGGGATGGGGCTGTTCCACAGAGAGCTGTGGGGAGCCACCAGAGACCCCTAAAGCCAGGGGTTAGTGTGAGTGTGTGTGTCTGGTACATGTGTGCATGGGGCCTATGTGTGAGGGTGAGGAGCGTGTGTGTATGTGTGTGTGTACACACACGCAGTCTCTGCCCCGAGGCCCCTGTCTGACCTGCTCTCTCTCTCCGCTCAGGAGCAGCTATACAAGCTGCAGCACTGGCAGCCGGTGTACCCACCACCTTCCCACCCCCAGCGAACCTTCTACCCCCACCACCCCCAGATGCTGGGCTTCGATCCCCGGTGGATGATGATGCCTTCCTACATGGACCCGCGGATCCCCCCGACTCGGGCCCCCGTGGATTTCTACCCATCTGCCCTCCATCCCTCGGGTAAGCAAGCCCCAGGGGGCCTCACCAGTAGAGCCTGGGCTTAGACCCGCCTGGATTCCAGCCTGGCTGCTCCTGTAAGTCACGTGGCTTGTCGGGGTTTTAACTTTGCACCATGAGGGTATGTGAGCACCAGCCACGCAGAATTGCTGGGCTCAGTCCTTCTGATTTTGTGTTCTGTGTCGTTGTAATTAGTTCCGACGGCCCTGCAGTGTCCTTTGTCCCTCTGTGCCTCCCCTTCCCTCCCCCTTCCCCCCCCCTTCCCTCCCCCTTCCCTCCCCCCTCCCCTCCCCTCCCCCTCCCCCTCCCTCCCGTCCCCTCCCCCTCCCCCCTTTCCCCTTAAGGATCTCTCTTTTCCCATTCTTCATGTTTTTTTGTGACTTCTCCTTTTTTGCCCTTGATTTCTCCTTCCCAAGCTTTATCTAATGCCATTTTTAAAAAGCACCGTTTGGGTTTCTTAATTCCTTTATCTTATTTGGTTTTTATTTCATTAATCTTCCTCATTAATTCTTTTGAAATTTTCCAATCTTTTGTAATTGTGTTGAGTACTTAGCCCATTAATTTCTGACTTTTAGATGTAAGTGTTCAAGTATCACTCTGGCTATAAATTGCCGTGGACAGGAGTTTTAAGATACAGCATTTTTCCTACTGTACGGTTTTCAACATTCATCAGATTTTGATTTGTGACCTTTCTTTGATTGACGGGATTTAACGGTAGGTCATAAATTTTCCAAATACAGAGCTTTAGGAATATCGCGATGGCGTTAACTTCTAACGTGGCTGTTCTGTGGTCAGACACTGTTGCCTGTGTGATCTAGAACAAGGGTCAGGGAGCTTCCCTATAAATGCCAGATGGTAAATATTTTGGGGCTTTGAACAGCTTCTCCATTTTGCTGTTGTAGAACAAAAATGACCAAGGACGATGGTGATTGAATGATCCTGGTCGCTTTCCATTAAGAGTTTATTTTTAAAAACAGGTGGCGGGTCCGGTTTCACTCTGGGGCTTGCGAATGCCAGCCAGCTCCCGATCGAGATTGCTTGCCGTTTCTGGGGATTTCCTTTGTAGGCCATTACATACTCTTTTGCTTAACATTCTGCGTATTCTTAAAAAGAAAATTCTCAGGGGCGCCTGGGTGGCTTAGTCGGTTAAGCGTCCGACTTTCGCTTAGGTCATGATCTTGCGGTTCGTGCGTTTGAGCCCCGCGTCGGGCTCTGTGCTGACTGCCAGCTCAGAGCCTGGAGTTCAGTCTGTGACTCCCTCTCTCTCTGACCCTCCCCTGTTCATGCTGTCTCTCTCTCTCTCTCCTAGAAATAAATAAAACATTAAAAAATTTAAAAAAAAAAGAAAGAAAGAAAGAAAATTCTCCACTTGGATGCGGTCCATTCCATCGAACTTGCTGGCTGTGCTGTGCAAGTTTCTATTGCACCCATCACAGTTCCTTAGCCCCGATCACTTGCTAAGAGGTGTGTGAGAATCTCCCACTGTGACCATAGGTGTGTCGGATCCCCAAGCCTGTCGGGCTTCGCTCTGTCTGGAAGCAAACAGGTTTGGACTGATGGTCTCTTTCTCCTTACCCCCACGCAGCACCCTGGCCTCCTCCACCATGCTTTCTACCTCTCCTGGCCACTGCGTCTGATATTAAAGTCATCGTTCTGGTTTTCTTTTGATGAGGACTTACTCAGTATCTTTTTTCCATCTTTCTACCGTCCAGATGTTTATAGGTATGAGATGTGTATAGTTTTAGCCACTCTGAAATCTAGGACTATAATTGCCAAAGTGCCTCTCTTTGGATTTGGGAGATCGCTACATTCAAATTTCCTACTCTCCTATTTTATACTTTCTGTTGATCTTACCTTCCTGTACTTTCTTCTCCTTCCTTTTTTTGGATCAAGTTTTCCTATACTTGCGGTGGTTTTACTTCCACCTGATGTTTCTATTGAGTTAGTGGTCACGGGATGTTCTGATCCATGCCTGTGACTGGCAAAGGCCGATTGGCATCCTCACCTTTCACCCGAGCTGATGAGCTTATCATTCTGTCTGTCTGTCTTCTGTTTTTTTCCCCAAGAATTTTAGCTCTTGTTTCTATGCCACCAGATTGGCCACTCTTTCTGCTGCTGCTTGCAATCTGTGCTTCTGCAGACTCGCCTGTCCCTGATGGGTTCTTCCTGTGTGTTCCTTGCGGGCGCGGTACGCTTCTTCATGAAGTACATTCTGTCGAGTTCTTCAGGAAATCTTCCTGGCAGTAGGTTTTCTTCGCCTGAAAAGCCTTTATGATACCCTTTGGCTGGGTGCAGCATTCGGGGTTGGCACTTCCGTCTTTCAGGACCAGGGAGGTAGTGGTCCGTTTTCTTCCCACCCCCATTGCTGCCGGGACGGATTCGTGTTCGTGGAATCGGCTCCGTGTGACCTCTGGCTGCTTTAAGATCTCCTCTTTCCTCTGGGGTTTCATCTCCGCGTGTCACGTCTGTTTTCTCTCCAGCTCTGTTCAGTCTCTCTCCCTCTAATTTGATTGCCTAGTGAGTTTGTTCAGTGACTTTTTTTTTTTTTTTTTTTGCTGGAATTTTTTTCCTCAAATCTGTTTTGTGCATGAGCATGTCATAGGTTTTTCTTAAGTTTTTAACTTCTTTTTTTATGCTTTTAATAACTTAAAGCCGAATTTCTAGGGTTGGTTAATCTGTTACCTGAAGCTCTCAAGCATGTAACCCTGTGTGCTCACTGGGGGCTAGTGGTGGGCAGTTCCCACACGTGCTTGTGATCATGGGTTGTGGGCTCATCTTCAGCAGTGCTGGATTTGTCGCTGGGTCCAGTATGGCTTGAGTAGAGAGTCCGTCCCCCCACTTCGGTTTTCTCTGGCCAGCCCCCGTTAGTCTCACTTGGGAAAATTCTGGACCACTCTCGGGGTGTAAATCTAAATTTTTTTAAAACATTTTTTATTTATTTCTGGGAGAGGGAGAGAGACAGTGTGAGCAGGGGAGGGTCAGAGAGAGGAGACACAGAATCTGAAACAGGCTCCAGGCTCTGAGCTGGCTGTCTGCACAGAGCCCGACGCGGGGCTCAAACCCAGAAACCGTGACCTGAGTCGAAGTTGGACGCTTAACCGACTGAGCCACCCAGGCGCCCCTTGAGGTGTAAATCTAAACCCTTCTCCCCACAACCTGCGTGAAAGCCAGCACCCTTATACATTACTCGCAGCAAATGATTTTTCCATAATTGGCCCATGCCAAGATACAAGCTCACTGGTTTCTTTGTACTAAAGAGCATATACACATATATTTTTTTTCATGTTTTTGTTTGTTTTGAGAGAGGGGGGGGGACCAGTGTGAGCAGGGAAGGGGCAGAGAGAGAGGGAGAGAAAGAATCTCAAGCAGGCTCCACACTGCCAGCGCAGAGCCTGACGTGGGGCTCGAACTCATGAACCGTGAGATCATGTCCTGAGCCGAAATCAAGAGTTGGACGCTTAATCGACTGAGCCACCTAGGCACCCCCAAAGAGCGTAGCTTCTTAAATCTGCCTTTGAATTGAGGGCCTTGCCCTTCCAGGGGCTCTGTGTTGAGCAGCTTCTCCATCACAAGGCAGAGAGCCCCATCCCCTGTGCTGTGGGGGGTTGAAGAGCGAGCCCGTGGTTACTGGGACTGACAGGCATGTTGCCCGGCTCCCCTCAGGGAAGCACTGGCTTGCAGTGCTGGCTGTGTCTATGGGTTCACAGCTCCCTGCGGGTTTCCCATTTTCTGGCCAGATTATCTCCATGTAAAAGCCATGTAGAATGTGTGGCTGCTAATAAGCTCTGTGAAGAAGGTATCTAAAAAATCAGATCTTCTTCTGTGCACAGGCTTAGGCCTGATGAGACATTTAATTTCTGCACCACCTCGCTCTGCACTCTCCCCAGTTGATAGATGTGGATAGGCCACGATGCAGGGGTGGGTGCACACTCTCTCCCCTGCTGGCTTCTATCTGGTGGGACCGAGGTGTCCTCTGCATCTTAATCGCCTCAGGCCCGTTAAACTGTTCATTGTCATCTGTGCATTCCCTTATCTCCATTGGCCATATAAAAAATGGAGTGTGGCGGTCAGTCCCAGGGCTAGAAATGAAAGGAACTGGGGCACCTGGCTGGCTCGTTCAGTGGAGCATCCGACTCTTAATGGGTTTGTGGGTTTGAGCCCCGTGTTGGGTGTAGAGATTACTTAAAAATAGTATCTTATAACAACAACAACAACAACAAAGGAACTGATGAGGCGCCTGGGTGGTTCAGGCAGTTAAGTGGCCGACTCCGGCTCAGGTCGTATCTTGCAGCTTGTGAGTTCGAGCCCCACGTCAGGCTCTGTGCCTGCACTCAGAGCCTGGAGCCTGCTTCCGATTCTGTGGCTCCCTCTCTCCCTGCCCCTCCCCTGCTTGTGTTCTGTCTCTCTCTCTGTCTCTCTCAAAAATAAACATTAAAAAAAACCACAAACCCAAAAACGGAAACCAGAACCGCTTCCTGAGGCCCGCTCGGGGTTTGCAGCAGGCAGACTCCAGCTCGCAGTCCGCGTGCTTCTCGGGCGCACAGCTGGCCTTGCTCGCGCCCGTGCGGGAGACCTCGGCGCCTCTGCTCGCACACAGCCCCTCGCTGCTGGCGGGTTGAGCTCTCTAGCCTTTGCGGACACGATGGGCTCTCTAGTTGGATATTTCCAGTTTCCATTCGCCAGTTGGGTGCACCCTTCAGCCTGGGGTTCCGAACCCCGGAGCTCAGCTCGGACCTCACAGGTCTCAGCACGGATCTGTAGACCCCTCCTGTCACGTGCGCGCGCCCCTCCTGAGGTTCCGTGTTAAGAGAACACACAGAGCCTGGTGGTGGTGAGCAGGTGGGGTGCTGCGATAGGGGAACTATGGTCTCCTTTGGGCCTGGGGGTCGCCCCGGAGACTGGAGCGCGGCTTTCTGCACTCACCGCCACAGGTTCATTTCTTTGCCTTGCCCTCTTCAGGACTGATGAAGCCCCTGCTGCCCCAGGAGACCCTCAGCGGGCCTGGCTGTCGCTCTGAGGACCAGAACCGTGTGCCCCCGCTGCAGGAGCGGAAAGTGGCCGCCCTCGATCCAGCCCCGGTGTGGAGCCCAGAGGGCTACATGGCCTTACAGGGCAAAGGCTACTCGCTTCCGCAGCCGAAAGCCAATGACACTTTGGCCATGGACGTGCACGTCAGGTGAGATGGAGCTCGGCCCTCCTGGCCTGCAAGCGAAGGCAGCGGGTCCCAAATCCTGCTGCTGCGGGGCCCTGGGAGGAGGCGCTGGCCCCGTGGGCAGTGTCCCCGTGGACGGGGAGTACGAGGAGGTTTGCCTGAATGCTTTCCTGTGAGAGGCGCTCACCTGCCGGGGGCGGGGCCGGCGGCCGAGCAGAGGTCCTGGGGCAGAGGCAGATCTGCCGAACCGGGGATCGGGGCGAGGGGTGGGGCCTGATGGGGCCATGTGCCCGGGTCGTGGCTCCTTCCTGTCCCAGTGGAGCAAGCTGGCCCTGCCGGCCCAGGGCCCCAGACTCTTCGCGGACTCCCAGGCTCCAGCTTGTCGCTTGAACCAGAGGACCGCCAGCTGCTGCTCCTGCAGGTGGTGCGCTGAGGGCGCCGGCAGCCCCCCCGGCCCCTCCCCGCCCCCCGCCGTCTCCACTCTCGACTCCAGGGGCCACTGGCCAGTCCGTGGCCCAGCAGCTCTGAGACGTGTTTAAAGATAGAGCAAACATTGGTGCTTGTGCTTTTTTTTCATTTTTCTTTCCTTAAAAAAAAATTTTTTTTTTTCTTTTTAAAAACTAAGCTCTGTGTTCAGCATGGAAACCAGGAACCAGGCTCCAATCACATTGACTGATTTTTCTGGTTCCTTTTCAGGAATGAAAGCTCTTACTCTGCCCCCCCCGGAAGGTCAGGGGGCGTAGGTGCCCAGCGCGATCTCCTTGAGGAGAGAGGGGAGGAGTTCTTGAGTGCTTTTGACAAGAAGGCCCAAGCAGACTTTGACAGCTGTGTCTCTTCTCAAAGAATAGGCCAGGAGCTTTTGTTTCCACCCCAAGAAAATGTTGAGGAAGCAGGTGCGCCTGGGGGTCACAGCCCAGACCTCCGGTGTTCCCCACTGGAGCCCGACTTTGCCCCGGCCGAGAAAAAGCCAGAGTATAGCAGCTGGGACGTTAGCCACCCTCCAGAGGCCACCGACGCAGCCGGCGGCATCGAGAAGGGGGCGCCCCGGGAGGAGCCGCCTTTTAACGTCTCCTCTTGGGAGAAGGAAGGGAGCCCCGGCAAGCAGGCGTCCCTGGAGCCCGAGTGGACCCCCGAGCCGCGGGGCCCCGGCGGCCAGCACCAGGAGCAGACCAGCAGGACACGGAGGTCGGGACCCATCAAGAAGCCCGTCCTGAAAGCCCTCAAGGTGGAGGACAAGGAGAAGGAGCTGGAGAAGATAAAGCAGGAGCCGGGGGAGGAGGGCGCCCGCGTGGCCAAGGAGACGGGGCCAGGTCGCAAGGTGGAGAAGGCCGAGGATGAAGAGAACGACCCCGCGCTGGCCAACTCCTGCCCCTCCCCCTCCCCCGTGGAGGACCAGGGCTCCGCCCGCGCGCGTTTGGGCCGCGAGGCCGGCAGGTGTGATGAGGACGAGAAGCCGGACAGAGCCTGGGAGGGCAGACCCTCGCGGGAGTCCAGCGACACCCCCCCGACAAAGAGGAACAACTGGATCTTCATCGACGAGGAGCAAGCCTTCGGGGGCCGAGGGCAGGCCCGGGGCCGCGGCCGCGGCTTCCGCGAGTTCACCTTCCGCGGGCGGCCTGCGGGCGGCGGCCCCGGCCTCTGCGGCGGGGGGGTGCTCGGGGCGCGGGGCGTCTACGGCGGCGGCCAGAGGAGCGGCCGCGGCCGGGGGCTGCGGGACTTCGGCCAGCCGGAGGACTTCCCCCGGGCCAAGCCGCGACGGCGCATCGCCAGCGAGACGCACAGCGAGGGCTCCGAGTACGAAGAGCTTCCCAAGCGGCGGCGGCAGCGAGGCTCGGAGAACGGGAGCGAGGGCTCGCTCCTGGAGCGGGAGGGCGGCGCCCTGAGGAAGGGCGACTTCAGGGACTCCTGGCGCTCCAACAAGGCGTGCTCCGAGGACCACGGCGGCCCCGAGGCCAAGAGCCGAGGCCCTCGCGCCTTCGGCCGGGCGCTCCCGCCCCGGCTGAGCAGCTGCGGCTACGGCCGGAGAACCTTTGTGTCCAAAGAAGCCTCCCACTGGCAGAGCAAGGGCCCGGGGGCCTCCTGGCAGGAGTACGGCCCTCCGGACGTGTGCGGGTCCCGGCGACCCGCAGACCGAGACTGTGTCCCCGACGCGTACAGACATTCTGACTCGTTTGGCGCCAGGGCCTTCGAAGACGGCCGCCTGGAGGACAAGAGGCCTTTCTTCCCCGACGACCACGCGGCCGACTCGGAGGGCGCCGAGAACCGGCCCTTCCGCAGAAGGCGCCCCCCGCGCCAGGACAAGCCCCCTCGCTTCCGGCGCCTCCGGCAGGAGCGGGAGTCGCTGGGCCTGTGGGGGCCCGAGGAGGAGCCCCACCTGCTGGCGGGGCCGTGGCCGGGCCGGCCCAAGCTCTGCCCCGGCGACAAGAGCGGGTCCCCCGAGCTCTCGTACCAGAACTCGTCCGATCACGCCAACGAGGAGTGGGAGACGGCCTCCGAGAGCAGTGACTTCAGCGAGCGGCGCGAGCGGCGCGAGGGCCCGGGGGCCGAGCCCGAGCCGCAGGCGGACGGCAGCCTGCCCGGGGCCGCCGTGGGCGAGAAGAAGGAGCTGGCCAAGAGGAGCTTCTCCAGCCAGAGGCCCCTGGCCGACAGGCAGAGCCGCAAGCTGGAGCCGGGGGGGTTTGGGGAGAAGTCCGTTAGGCCCGGTGGTGGTGACGCCGCTCCCCGTTATGACAGCCAGCAGAACGGGACGCCTTTGAAAGCCAAAAGGTAAAACGCAGACCGAGCCCCAGGCCCTTCTCTGTCGCTGCTGTTCTGTTAGCCTGTTGACTTGAGCAGCACCCATGCATGCGAGCCCCGCCGTGTGTCCGGCGCCCCAGCTCGGTCCCTCTGTCGCCCTCCAGAAGGCACGCTGCCCGCCCAGGCCGTTGCGTGTGAGCGTCTCCGTCACCTGCTCTTACGCGCTTGTCCGCCTCTCTCGCGTGTCGTTGTCGTTGTTGTCGTGGCTTGAAAACTGAAACCGAGACCCCAGCCCGCTGGTCCTCAGCCTTCCAGAAGGTCCCTTGCCTCCCTGCCGAGGGGGGTGCTTCCTGTGCATGGCGCCTGGCCCCAGATTCCTCCGCCCCGGGGCTGCTGTTCCCCTGGGTTCTTCCGGGCCATTTAGCCTCCTGGCCCTGTGGGGACGGCTCCTCCCGGGTGGCTCCGCCTCCTGACAGTGAGGGGATCGGCCGCCTACTGGTGGTGAGAGCAGGCAGTGGCTAAAGCAGGTGAGCTGCCTGAGGCCCTGTGGGCGGCCCTCGGGATCAAGAGGCTTTCAGGTGGCTCAGGTGTGCGCCCCGTCGCTGCCTGCAGGCCGCCAGAATCCAGGAAATGGGAGAGTGTGGACTCACTTGTGCAGCCTGATCGCCTGTTCCATGCTTCTTGGCCGAGGAAGGCTGCTTCCTGCCTCCCGATCTCCTTAGAATCCGGGGCCGGAAACCTGGAGTGGAATCAACTCCGAGCCCCAGAGAGGGAGCCCTGGGAGAATGCTGGTGCTTCCAGGTGTCCGGCCAGCCTGGCTTTCCGGGCCCCAGATGCTGACAACAGGCTTTGCATCTGATTGCTGCCGAGAGCCTTATCGTGGGGCCCGGTCAGGCTCGTGTGCCAGGAGCGGAGAGTGCCGCGGCCCTGCTCTGAGCGCCTTCCCTTCGTTCTCTCCCGTCTGCAGCCCTGCTGGGTTTGGCACGCGGTGGGAAAGAAGCAAGGCGCTGAGCCCTGGGAGGGGTCGGGGACAGACGGTTGTCCCCTGCGAGCGGGCGGCACCGCTGCAGCAGTGTGGCCGCAGGAGGCCTGGCGCCGGGGAGCCACTTCGACCGCGTGGAGGGGGCTATAGGTCAGGGCCCCGCGGCCACGCACGTGCCGGGTGCACATGCCGATTGTCCCCTTCTCTCCTTCCCTGGTCTCTGGTCACTTCTGAGCTAACGCGGTCCTCCTTCTTCCCAGGTCCCCGGATGAGGCTTTGCCGGCGGGGCTTGGTGGCAGCAGCGGGAGCAGCCACTACGCGCTGGAGCGGGCGGCCCATGGCGCCTCTGACACCCCCAAGGGCTCCTGTGAGACGGCGGAGGAGGCGGCCAAGCTGGTTGCTCAGAGGGCGGGCGAACAGGGAGAGACCATGAAACAGTTTGACCTGAGCTATGGAAGTGAGTCTGTCCCCTCACATCTTCGGGCCTCTCAGAACCAGGGGCCGCGATGGCTTCCGCGGGTTGCCGGGTTTGCCCATCCTCTGGCCCTTGTGGGCTCAGGGTAGGCGGTGGGCCAAGTTCCGGGGCGACACGGGTGAGCAGAACCGATACGGTTCCTGTCCTGTCGGTCACAGCCTTGCCACCCCCCGTCGCAGCCCCACGGTGTCTCCGTTTTACAGGGGGGGGGCCCGAGGCCTGGCGAGGTCCTGTGGCATGTCCCGGGTCACGTGGCTGGTTAGTACCAGAGCGGGGACTTTGGTCTCCAGAGGCTCTTTACTGTAGTGCTACTGGTGTCTCTGGTGAGATAGCCGTGTGCTGGGGAGGCCTGGGGAGGGTGGAGGAACCTGGCGGGATCTCCATGCATCGCGAATATGCTCTGATTCTTGGAGGCATCGAGCCTGGTGCCACCCGACCTTCTGAGCTGAGCTGTCCCTTCGATGCCAGGAAGTGGCAGGGTGGGGTTATTCTTTCTTCTGCTGAATGGAGACACTGTCCCTCCTTGTGACATCTGGGTTCAGATTCCATCATTGAGAACTGTGGGTCCAGCCCCGGGGAGGAGAGCGAGGTGGGCCCCATGGCGGCCGAAGGCTTCATTGAGGTCCTGACCAAGAAGCAGCGCCGTCTGCTGGAAGAAGAGAGGAGGAAGAAGGAGCAGGCCGTGCAGGTAGGGGTGTGGGGTGGAGGGCAGGTGGGCACACAGAGACCCAGAACCAGAAGGAGAGAGAGTTCTGAATTAGGCGCAAGATGGAAGAGGGGTGGGAAGGAGGGCATCCTGACAGCGCGCCTCATGTCCCGGCGCGGCCCCTCCCCCCCAGCCCTGTTGTCGCGTGGGAGTAGGCGATGTTACCCCAGTTCTGGGAGAGGGTGACTCGTCCCAGGTGACAACGAGGCTCAGACTTCCCTCTGGGCCCCCAGGCCACCCTTCTTCTGTGTGGGATGAGATGTGTCACCTGGAGTGTCACGGCAGTTGGGGAGCCTGTACTTAGAACACAGGCCTGGACGCCGTACACTTGGCCTATCTAGCCTGCGTGCGCTGGCCTGCCTGCCCTTCCGGTGTTGGGGAGGGGGTGGCATTGCCCTTCACCCAGGGCCGAGGCCTGGAGACGCCAGCGTTTCTGCCCCCCTCGGGCCGTTCCTGGTGGTGTGGTTTTGGCGGGGGGACTTGTCCTTCTTTGCGCCTCACGTCTGGGCCGGACAATGTCACTTGTTTCCCCTTAGGTGCCCGTCAAGGGTCGCGGTCTTTCCTCCCGCATCCCTCCTCGGTTTGCGAAAAAGCAAACCAACTTGTGCCTGGAGCAGGGTGACGTGACGGTGCCTGGCAGCAGCCTGGGCACGGAGATTTGGGAGAGCAGTAGCCAGGGTAAGAGCTGGGCGCTTGGGCTTCGCTGCTTGCTCCGCGGCTGTCCCCTGCGCCAGGGGTCTCTTCTCAGGGGGCATCCTGCTTTGGGGCCATGCACGCCCGTGTGGCTTTGCCCACCCCGTCTCTTCTCCAGAGTTACGGCGTTAGGTACCATCCTGGTAGCGCCTGCGGCTGCAGTCCCCAAGCAGCCATAAACTCCCCCTGCCCGAGATGTGGGGCAGGAGCGCGCCATCCTTTGTGTCCGGTGACCTGGATGCGGGATCCCCCGCCCCTGCCCAGCTCAGGTCCTGGGGGGAGTCGGCTTGACTCCTTTGCGCCCGTCAGGCTCCCTTTCTCCTCTGCCTGTGGAGGGGCAGCCGGTGACCGCCAGGGAGGAGGACAGAGTCCGAAGCTGTCCCGTCCGTGCCGCGTGCTGGCCCCGACGCCGGGCGCTTCTGGCCTCTCTCCTGAGCCAGACAGACGTTAGTTTTTGGAAGGCTTCTCAGAACTTAAAAAAAGAAATTTCAAGCCCAGTGCCTTTTTTTTTTTTTTCCTGGTAACTTTTCATTGTAAAATACAAAACCACCTTTTTTAAATGTCTATTTTTGAGAGCGGGTGCAAGTGAGGGAGGTGCAGAGAGGGGCACAGAGGACCTGAAGCGGGCTCTGTGTGAACAGCAGTGAGCCCACCGCGGGGCTTGAACTCACGGGAGCCACGAGCTCATGACCTGGGCCATAGTTGGACCCCTGATGTCTGAGCCACCCAGGTGCTGCTTGAAATGCAAAAACCATGTTAATCAAGCAGCTGCTGCTTTAATGCCTGCGGGGCAGAGCCCTGGAGAGAAAGGCCACAGGGGACAAAAGCACGATGCTCACCGGGGGCCTAGAGGCGTTAGCCATTTCTGGTGTGTTAGACCTGGTAGCCGAGGACCCCGGCGTGCAGTGACGTGACCCCAGAGCCACGTGACAGACACCCCAGATTTTGGTGGGTCCTAGGTGTCGGTTCTTTGAACGTTCCCGCTTGGCCTGTCGCGTTCCTGGCTAAAACCATGGTTCCGACACGTTACAAAGAACACTGGACGATGCTCAGCTCTGATTGGAAGTAAGATCTTGGCTGCGAGCTGATCTGGTAGCACACACGAGCAGAGTGTCATGCTCCGAATGTCCCCAGATACCTGCCAGGCTGCCGCTCAGAGCAGACTGGACTGCGGCCCCTGCCCTCGGGCCTTTGTTGCCAGGACCCCCTCCCCGGCCGCTCAGCCCAGGGCCGCGTGCATGGCTGCCGAGGGTCCCCGGCTCTGAACGCTGCGCCTCAGGCTTGGCGCACATACACGGGGTCTGTGGCTTCGGTGGGAGTGTCGGAGTGGTCCTCGAGCTTCCAGAAGTTGAGTGATACCGACCCGGATCCTTGAGAGACTTTGTGAAGCTGCTGGCTTTAGAAGCAAACGGCTGGCTTAGGAGACCCCGTCAGCACACGGGGTAGCGGGGCGGCTTCCTTGCGGGCGCGCCTTCTGGAGCTCGTAGTGGACGAAGTCAAGGAAAGCACGCTCCTTGGAGTCTGAGGATGCTGGGAAGTTGGGTGAAGCTACCAGAGCAGCTCCAGGGCCATTCTTGGGGCAGCAGCCAGCCACTTCCTCCGCGAGGCCCTCCCTGACTCACTGTTCTATTCCCTCGGGCAGCCCTCCCCGTCCAGGCCCCAGCCAACGACTCCTGGACCAAAGCTGCCTCTGCCTTCAGCAGCGCCGAGTCCGGCTCCGCTGAGGTGAGTGTCCGCCGAGCCGCTCGGGGCTGCGCGTGAGCCCAGCGCCCCCTTGGCCAGCCTGTGCTGGGCCTCATGCACAGGGTGCCGGCCTTTGTGCCTGACCCCCGGGGAGGGTGGGTGACGACCTGGCCTGTGGTGATAGACACCCCATCTGGCCTGGGCCCCGCCTAGAGTGCCCACTGCCTGTCTCGTGTTTTGATGGCATCCTCAGCTGCTGGGCACTGTTGGTGGCTCAGGGCCCACATCAGGATGGGACTGGAGGGGACAGGGGTGCTGGGGGTGTGTCTCAGCCACACACTTGGTCCCACTTTCGGGACAGTCCCGTGTTGGAGCTTGAGGGTCAGGGCCTTCACTTGTGTCGTACCTTGCACAGCAGGGTTTTAAGAGCAGCCAGGGCGACAGCGGCGTCGACCTGAGCGCCGAGTCCCGGGAGTCGTCTGCGACCTCGTCCCAGCGCAGCTCCCCGTATGGCACACTGAAGCCGGAGGACATGACTGGGCCTGGCTTGGAGCCCAAGGCCGATGGCCACAAGGAGCAGGCTCAGAAGCAGCCCGAGCCAAAGGTCAGCCAGAAGCGCCTCCGCCGGGGCCAGTGGGCGCGGTCCCTTGTCTGTTCCCTCTTGGGCTCAGAAGCTGAGCCCTGGGGCCCTCCCGACCCGTGTTTCTTAGCCCCTCTGGTTTTCCATCAAGGACTCGGATCAAGGTTCAGGACAGAGCAAGGAGCACAGACCGGGACCCATCGGCAACGAGCGTTCTTTGAAAAACAGGAAGGGCTCAGAGGGGGCCGAGCGGCTGCCGGGGGCCGTCCCTCCTGTCAACGGCGTGGAGATTCACGTGGACTCGGTGCTGCCGGTACCGCCCATTGAATTCGGAGTCAGTCCGAAAGTGAGGCTCAGTTGTGTTTCCTTCCCACACCGCTCCCTCATGTGTCCCCCATGGTTTTGAACTTGGAGAGAGAGGGGAGGTGCTGAGACAGGGTTGTGACCTAGAAAGAGCAGGGGCACGGAAGCCAAGCAGCTCTGTGGGGGAGCGTGTCAGCCTGCAGGACGAGGCAGATGCCATTGAGCTGCCTTCTAGATTATTATGACACCAGCCAGGGTCTCTGGCTGAGCAGACCTGGGATCGTCCCTGTCTCAGTCGGGGTGGCCAGTGGGCATATAGGCAGGGAGCACAGAGGGTGGCCGTCTGGTGGACGCTGCCCAGTAGACTTTTTTGAGTCATTGAGTCTGGGTCGAATTAATGCACATCTGTGTTGAGAGGCAGGCAGATAATGCCAGGGGCTCTTCCTCCTCCAGGACTCGGATTTCAGCTTGCCGCCTGGCTCGGCCTCTGGTCCCGCAGGGAATCCAGTCGTCAAACTTCAGGATGCCTTGGCTAGTAACGTGAGTGTGTGTTTCTCTCTGTTCCCCGAGCTGGCAGGTCCTAGAGAGAAAGGAGCGAGCCTAGCGGGGGGGGGTCTGAAGCCAGAGGAGGGGGCTGACCCCAGCTGTGGCAGATCTGGGGGTGCGGCACAACGTGCTGTCTAGCTGGTTACGTGTCCTCGGGTGAGTTGTATAAATGCCCCGCGTCCCGATTTTGTGATCTTAAGGCGGGACAGGGGCATTCCTGAGGCCTGGGTTATTTGGTGCTCTGGGCTTACAGGTGTTTGGTAGCAGTGGGAGAACTTGGTGTCTTTACCCAGAATCCCTGTAATACGCCGATAGGCACTGGGCACGTATGGGAGGGTCTGTTGGCCACCTGCGTGAAGAACTGTTACCATGGCCCGCGTTCAGTGTCCGGTGGGGGGCGGAGACAGGACCTGGGGGTGTCCACGTGAGGCGTTGGCGCCTCTGTGCCAGCACGGCCGCCCACACCCAAGAGCCCACAGGCTGGGGGCGTAGAGGTGGCTTTCCGCAGACGTCCGTCAAGGGAAGCAGGAAAGACCGCTGTCTGGAGCGGATAAGCTTGGTTTCTGCCGCCGGCAGCCTCACCTCGGGGGTCTCGAGCGCACGTGGCTCAAACCGCAGGTGCGTTTTCCTGTCCTGTTGGCTCTGTGCCAGTTGTGTTCCGTGGTTTCCTCCCCCTTCCAGGCTGGGCTAACACAGAGTATTCCCATCCTCCGGCGTGATCATCACATCCAGAGGGCCATCGGCCTCTCCCAGATGTCCTTCCCCACTGCCGACCTCACCCTGAAGGTAACGCATGAGGCTGGCGTAGGTGAGGGCCGCACGGGCGCCTTAGCTCACGGAGAGACGGGGCTGCAGGCTGTCCTGGGGCTTCGATCCGTTGACGTCGTCTGCCTTCTTGGAAGTAATTCGTCCCCTCCCCTTGCCTCCTAGATGGAGTCCGCCCGCAAGGCTTGGGAAAATTCACCCAGTTTGCCGGAGCAGAGCTCCCCGGGAGGCGCGGGCTCGGGAATCCAGCCCCCGTCTTCTGTGGGTGCCTCCAACGGCGTCAGCTACAGCTCGTTCGGTGGAGTGTCCATGCCGCCCATGCCCGTGGCCTCCGTAGCACCCTCCGCTTCTCTTCCAGGTACCTGGCCGCTTGCCTGAGCCAGCCCGGGGAGACGTGTGGTGCCGGCCTGAGGGTGCAGGGGTAGGAGCTTGTTGGTGGCCCGGCGGGTCTGGCCTCCCAGACGCTACCCACCCCCTTGGTCCCTTCTGTGGTGCGGGAAGCAGGCCGGGAGCAAGCAGAGACCCGGCTTGGAGTCAGACTGGGTCATGTGCAGGGGCCGTGGCCTCTCCTCCAGCAAGTGGCTCAGCCCTCCAGGCTACGGCCCCTTCCTCTGTGAGATAGAACTGACTCTCCGTGGGTTAGCCTGTGACGCAGGGTCGACCTGCAAAGTGCTTTGTGCCAGTTGAGCTTCACAGGTGGTGGCTCGTCTCTACCAGTGTGCTGGTGCCCCAGGGGAGAGGGCAGGGGTTTGAGGGCCCAGCCGCCAGGGTCTCAGTAGTGCAGACCCCCACCCCCCAGCCTCCACCATGGATTCCGTGCAGCGAGCCCGAGGAGCAAGGGGCTGAGACCAGGGCTGCCTGAGCCGCAGCGGAGCCCCTCCCGAGGGTGCGGGTTCGGTGGGCCAGGGGTCGGGTGAGGAAGGCCAGCTGCCCACCTTTCTGGGCCCGTGTTCCCCGAGGGGCGAGCAGGTGTGGGGCTGTGTGGCTCAGGGCCGGCAGCGGGGGGCCAAGCAGACTCTGCACACCCTCCCTCCCTCCCACGGTTCCCCGGGAAAGCGTGCGTGCGTGTGGCCGTTCAGGAATGGTGAGACTTGACTCTGTCCCGTCTGCTCTCGGATTCCATCCAGGCAACCACCTGCCGCCTCTGTACCTGGATGGCCACGTGTTTGCAAGTCAGCCTCGGCTGGTCCCTCAGACGATACCTCAGCAGCAGAGTTACCAGCAGGTGATGACAGCCAGACAGGTGGCCCCGTGGGGGACGGGGATGCAGCTCACGGTGGAATTCACTTCCTTTCTTGATTTGCTCACTGTCTCGCTTTCTGTGTCCCCTCATGTGTAATGCCCAGCGCCCAGCCCGTCCTGGCAGGCAGGGCTTGTGTGGTGAATGAACACAGGAGAGACAGGGAAGAGGGATGGAGCTCAGCGCTCCAGACTCCGAGACTCCCTCTGTCCGTTCTTCCCGTGTCCTAGCTGGGGAATTAGCTGAAATGGAATTCTCTTTGGTATCCTTTGGCATCAGGTATCCTTCTGATGAAGAGAAGAAAGGCCTAGACTCCCAGGCATGGATGCGTTAGAAAGAGGTAGTCTTAGAAACGTGCAGGTGTTTGTTTTCATGCAGGATGGGCGTTATTTTCTGTGCTGCAAGGGGCGGATTTCTGGAAGTCTCCCTCCTGAAGCTGGTGCGGGGCCTTTGATGGTCCGGCACCCCCGGACCTGTGTGCCAGGATGGTGGGGCCCTTGGGCAGAAGTAGATTTGGGGATGGAGAACAGAGGATTTGGCCTGTCCTGATCTCTTAATGAAACCTATTCTTAAACGTTACGTTGTTTAGTTTTATGAGGTATCAATGTTCATTTACCCGGATCGTACAGCACGTAGCTTTCGCGTATGTTTCCCCTTGACCGTTCCTTCTAAAATGCACCTCTGTGGACCACTGTAGCCAGGATTCATTCTTGCCATTGTATACAACCCAGTGTAGGAAACCCTGGTTTGGGGGGTTTGTTACAGTGTTTGCTTTTCCCCAAGAGCAAGGAAAGCACCAGAAGGACGTGCTCCAGTTTGCCTTTGGGGCAGTGTTGGAGCTGCTGTGTGGAGGGGGGTGTGGCGGGCGGGGGCGGCGGACAGCCACCCTGGAGGGCACTGCGGTCACCTGCCTGGCTTCCCGTCCGCAGGCCGCCGCCGCACAGCAGATCCCAATTTCCCTTCACACGTCTCTGCAGGCTCAAGCCCAGCTTGGACTGAGAGGCGGGCTCCCCGTCTCCCAGTCTCAGGAGATCTTCAGCTCCTTACAGCCCTTCAGGTGAGGTGCAGCCAGCAGCTCAGACCCCCTGGCAGCCCGTGGGCAGGCCCCTTCGTACCGTTGCTGCCCCGCGAGTCTCTGAGGTGGGGTGGGGTGGGGCGTGGTGGTCCGGGTCGCTTCAGAGTCCTCGTTAATCTGCTGCAGGAGCCGCCAGTGGCTTGTTGGTCTCGAAGGGCCTTGTCTCCTCTCCCTCCTCCGCCCCTCCCGCCTCTTCCACCACCCTCGCTGGGCTCTTCTCACGCATCTGAAGTCCTGTGCTTTTGGCGTCCCGTGGGTTTTCCTGGGCCTTGTAGAGCCTGGATGATTCCATTCGTGTAATCGGGTGATGCTCCCACCGCGGTTTCTCGACCAGTGGCGTCGGCGCTTTTTACGAACGCAAATTCTCAGGCTCTGTCCCAGGCTTTCTGAGTCAGAAACTCTGGGGGCGAGAGGCCAGCGCTCCGGGTCTTAGCAAGCCCCCTGGGGGATGGTGGCGTGTGTGCCCCTCTGAGGTCCGCCGCTGCAGTCCTGCACCCGACCCCCCGTCTGTCTGGCTCTTGCAGATCTCAGGTGTACATGCACCCCAGCCTGTCACCGCCCAGCACCATGATCCTCTCTGGAGGCACAGCCTTGAAGCCCCCCTACTCGGCCTTCCCCGGCATGCAGCCCTTGGAGATGGTGAAGCCCCAGTCCGGCTCCCCCTACCAGCCCATGAGCGGAAACCAAGCCCTGGTCTATGAGGGCCAGCTCGGCCAGGCTGCTGGCCTGGGCGCCTCGCAGCTGTTGGACTCCCAGCTCCCACAGGTCAGGAATTCAGCCCCTCTCGCTCCTTTCCTAACTGTTTCCTCCCTTTTATCTGCCCCTCGCTGCGTGCGTGCTGCGTGCTGCCCTACCCTAGGTGCTGTTTGTGCCTGTCGGGACTGGGCCTCGGGCTGTGAGCCCTGGGGCCGGGTTTCCCACCTCCTGTGTTTATCCCGAGAGTACTCCTCCCCCGGCTTCTCCCGCCCTCGTCCTGGGGGGCTTGGAGATAAGGTGCGTGTGTCCTTGTGGCTCCCCACTGATGCTTCTAGACCGCTGTCCCTCCCTTCTCCCTAAAACCCCAGCTCCGGAGCCCGTACTGTCGGCTGCTGCGCCCGCCTCCACGTTGCTGGGAGTCCACAGTACGAATGTAGTGTTTGGCTTCATGTCTTCCTCCCCCCGTGACCGTCAGTGACATCAGACAGCTTTGAGGGTCCCCCTCTCCTCCTTTGGCCCCCGGCCCAGACTCTGCAGCACAGCTCTTGTTCTAGCTGCTGCTGGTTTCGATGTCTGCTTAGATGGTACCCTGGTCTCTGTACCTGCGCACCTGTTCCTTCCACCGGGACCGCGGCCCCATTGCTGCCAGCGCTCGGCTGTGTCCCGGTCCCGTCTGGATTGGTTACTGCTAGAAACTACCTTTTTCCTATTCTCAGGCTTAAGGGCTCTACCTAGCCACCCAGCATCAGCCACCTTTTCATCACCTTCCCCCTATGGGCTCGCTTCCTTCTCTGCTCAGCGTGGCACCCTGCCGCCTCTGCCCTGGGCCCCTGCAGTGTTTCCACCTTGGGGACGTCCGGTCCCGCCTCGCCCCGCCCCACCCCGCCCAGGCTGCCCGTGGCTGGCTGCCGCTTTCAGGCCCGGGCCCTCCCCGCCTCCCACCCGCCCGCATCTTGCTTATGGCCTCCCTGGAGAGGTGAGACCTGGCGTCTGGCCTCCTGCCACAGGGTGGGCTGGGCCGGCCGTGCCCGGCAGAGGCCCCGTCCCTTCCAGCCGGGCTGCTGCTCGCTCCTACAGCACGTGTCCCGTCGGCACACAGACGAGCTGCAGGACCACCCTCTGGGGATGAGGGCCCTCCAGACAACACCCCACAAGCCCGTCACTCCCTTTTACAAAAAGCTGAAACAAAGTTGTCAGCACGCGAGTTAGTTCCCGATGGTTATTCTCGGCTCTCGTGACCCGGAGATGCTCGTTTCCCCAGAGTCCCGATGTTTGCTCGGTTCCCAGGCACCCTCCCGGCGGAACCTTCCGCCGCACCGCCTGCTCTGTGGTTTCTCGGGGCCCCCGGCTGCTCTGCTCTCTGACCTCTGTCTAGCCCTGTGGCTCTAGGCCCCGTCCGACCTGGCTTCCCGGTGCCCCCGGGCGTGCTCTCCGGCCACTGGGCTGCCCGTCGCCTCTGGCGTCTTAACGGCATCTCCTGCGTGGCCCGTGCTGGCATCGTGTCCAAGGCCTGAGTTCTCCCGGTTCTCCTGGCTGTGGCTGTCGCGTCCGTGTCCCCCGCAGGCCCCCGCTCCCCTCGTACGCCCTCACCCTTCCGCAGGTCCTGTTGGCTCTGCCTGTGGGGCGTATCCCGAACCCAGCCGTGCCTCGTGCCCTCCACCCTCCTCCCCGTCCAGGCTCCCGCGGGGCCTCCCCCCACCCCCCCGCCCCGGTCTCCTGCCTCTGCTCTTGGGCCCGACAGTCTGTTCTCAACACCCCATCAGGGTGCCCCCCGAAACACAAGTCTCCAGAAGTCCCGCGCCGTCTTCCTCCTCCTCCCGCTCCTTGCCGTGTGCAGGGAGGAGCCTGGGGCCTTGGGGCCCGGCCGGCCGGCCGCTCGTCTCAGTGATGCGGTTCCAATAGATCCTTCTGACCCTCCACTGTGGACTCAACGCAGGGGGTGAAGAGGAAAGTGACTGAGAGATGAGCGGCTTCCCTGCGCCGGTCCCGGGTCTCCAGGCCCCCCTCCTCCCTGGCACCCGCCCCCCCTTCTGACATAAGAGTCTTCAGAAGGCTACAGTCTCCAGTTCAGTTCCTGGACCCCTGAACCCCAGAGCCGGGTTGAGTCTTCTGTGTCCCCTTTAGAGGCAAAGCAGTAGAGGGGTCTGCCTTTTGGTGCCGTGCAAAGGAGTCCAAAGATACACATCCACGCGGCTCTCGTCTCTGGGGGCTCGCGTGCAAGGTGCTTCCTAAGAAGCCCCTCTGACCTTCCCTCACTCTTCCCCGCCCCCCCGGACCCATGGGGTTTGCGGCCCGCCTTCCACATGCCAGGTCCTTGCCGCTCCCCGGGCCCGACTGCGTCCTGGTGCTTCCGCAGCACGCAGTGTGCACTCGGCAGACCCCTGCTGGGCAAAAGCAGGAAGGTCTGGGGTGCGCGTGGCCCCGTGCAGCCCCGGGGAGGAGCCGCATGTGTGTGGCCCTGGGCTCGTGGTCACCACCTGCCTCGTTCCGGCCAGCAGCGCTGCCCCTCCCCCCGAGGGTGTGCCTGAACGGAAACCCAGGGCCTCTGGCTGTGCAGGGGCCTCTCTTTAGTGGTCTCGAAACGACGACATGAGCGTGACGTGCGTTCGCTCTCGGGGGCAGGTGTGAACAGCCGTCTGTGGCTTTCTCCCCGACATCCCTACCTCCTCTTGACTGTCTCTGTCATCCAGCAGCTGACGATGCCGCTGCCTGGCTCCCAGCTGCCTCTGCCTCGGTACGGCTCCGGGCAGCAACCCCTGATCCTGCCACAGTCGATCCAGCTGCCCCAGGGCCAGAGCCTCTCCGTCGGGGCCCCCCGACGAATCCTTCCACCCGGGTCCCAGCCTTCGGTCCTTAACACCAGCAGAGAGGTAAGGATGACTCCGTCCTGCTGCGTCCTGGGGAGGGCCTTTGCCGCTAGTCAGGAGCCACTGTTGGGGCAGAAAGTGCTGGCGGTCAAGGTGAGGCGCAGGCTGTTGGCCTCACCAGACCATGGGTTTCCTGCTTGTGGGGAATCCCTTTTGGAAGCCCATGGCGGGACACCCTTGGTTCCCGCTTAACAGTGACACGAACCAAGGCCCAGGGCAGAGGGGAGGGGGGCCCGGGGAGCCGTGCTGGGGCCGGTTCACACACCGTCCCCAAGGTCCCCGGAGAATGGGGCTGAGGCTGGGCTTTGCTGATGGCCGTCCGGTGGTGATGCATGGTCCTCTCTCCCCTCCTCCTGCACTTCCAGAAAACAAAACCACAGGGTACGGTTCCTACTTCTGAGAAGCAGCCCCCTGAGCCCAAGTTGCACGTTTCTGTAGAGAGTCCCTCTGTCCCCAGAAATCCTCCTCGGCCCTGCAGCAGGTGGTTCAGTGAGGCCAGGCGTCTCCGGGGCCGTCGAATGACCCCTCATTCCTTCTTGGTGTCTTTAGTCCTCTCAGATGGAGATGAAGGGCTTCCACTTTGCCGACAGTAAACAGAATGTTCCTTCAGGAGGCTCCGTGCCATCACCACAGACCTACAGGTAAAGAAACGCCCTGGGGGTCGGATGCTGCGTTGCCGACTACTTGGTCTAGATGTGACCCGGTGGCTCCGCAGGGCCCCTAGGGCCCAGGGAGAGCCACAGAAGAGCGCTTAGGCTGGGTCCCCTTGGAGGCCACGTGTCACCTTGAAGTTTCTGTGCTAGCGCAGTCTCCTGTGCTAGTTAACCACGGGGAGGTCAGGAACTGGCAGAGCAGTGTGCTTTTAATCGTCATCATAAAATGCTCTGGTTTGGGAGAGTTTTCTGGAAAGGCAGGGAAAAGGAACAGCCGCTGTTTTACTAGTGCGAGGCCCATCCCGGCTGCTCACAGCTTCCTCGCCAGATTTTACAAAGGATTTACTGGCCAGGAAGGTACACGCCCGTCCCCGGGGCCGCCTGTCCCCTGCCCTGGCTCCCTGGCTCTGCCTGCCGGGACTGGCTGCTGGCCTCTCGGGGCATCCATGCCGCCCCCAGCGCGGACTGGCACCTTCTCTTGGCGCCCTGGCCTCGGTCTCTGCCTCCAGGAGCTGTCCCGGCTCCCTTACTTGGCTGGGCCTGGAGGTGGTGGTTTGTGTGAATCCCTGTGCTGCGTTCCTCCTCCTACTAGAAAGTGGAAGAACTGGAGCTTCCCGGACCCGCTCGCCCCTGAGGAGGAGTGTGCGGGGACGGGGAGGCGGCATGCTCTGGCCCGGGACCCATGGGTGGGTGCAGCCGAGGCTCGGCACGTGTGGGAGAGGCCTGGAGAGCCCTCGGGCTGGTGCGTGAGAGCTTGGCGGCGCGGCTCCGGGCGGCCCGGGCCCCTCGAGGGGAAGCACTGGTGCCCATCAGATCGCCATCCCGAGTCTTGGTGCCATGGCCACGCTGCCCCGTCGCTCCTGGAGTGTCGAGGCCGCGTCCTCTGTCCCTTCCGTCTGGTCATTCCGTACTTTTCCCCGCACTTCCAGAGAAAGGCATTTTTTTGTGACCTTTTCCAAAACCATTTCATCATCTTTTCTGTTCTTCTTTCATTCTCTCGGCTTCACTTCTTTTTGTTGATTTGTTTTGTTTCCTGACTCTGTTTTTCACGTGGGTTCAAACAACAGAACTGTAGGAGAGGTGCAGCCAGACAGCCCCACAGAGCAGCGAGTGTAGTTTGGGCGAGAGAAGGAAGCTGTGCGTGTGAACCGTGTTGTGTCTCCGCGGCCGCCACAGGTGGCATTTAGCCGCATCCAGGGAGAGACAAACCCAGAACACGGAAACTCACATAGCCTGTGTCCACGTCCTGTAGGAATGGCAGCAGCCGGCTCTTTGGAGAGAGGCTACATAGAAAACATCAACCTTAACGGATAGCCTTTGCTTTGTCGACGTTTTAGCGGGGCCGGGAAAATTGGTTTATCTTTGTAGAGCAGCAATTCCCAAGTTTTCTGGAAACTGGGCTTCTGAGGCATGTCCTGCTACAAAAGGGCCCGGTGGTCGGATCCTTGGACGTGCTTATTGGGGGTCGTGCCCCTCAGCTCAGGGTCTAGGTACCTCCACCGTCGAGGGTCCTGACAAACTCTGCACACGGCACTTGTCAAGCTTTTGGCCACAGAATCTTTTTCTCCGTCTGATTAACATCCACGAACACTGGCCGCCCAGTCAGTGGAGCACATTCAGAAAGCCGTCCTGACAGGTTTTTGGTGCTCTTGGTTTCTTCCTTTCCCCCCTCCCGTCCCCATCGCACGAAACAGTGAAAGCTAAGGAAATACTCAGCACCATTCTGCAGTCAGCTGTGTAGACCGGGTGTCTGGGTCATGGAACCCCGAGGCCCCGATCCCCCCCAGACCCTGAGAGACGGGCAGTGCCCACCGGTCTGGTCGGTCAGCGCCTGCCCGCGGCAGGGGCCTTGGCCTCTGCGCCCTTGGGTGCGCCCGTGTGAGCCGCCCTGGCGCTCTCTGCGCTCTGGCTGTCCGAGGCCTTGGCTTCCCTCTGTCCAAGAGGGCCCGCGCCAGGGCCGTGCCAAGTGCTAGGCTTGACTCCGTTTCTCCGACGACGCGCGTGTTCTCACCCCCTGCCTTTGGTTTTTTCAGGCCTAGCTCTGCTAGCCCCAGTGGGAAGCCCTCTGGATCAGCAGTTAACATGGGCTCTGTGCAGGGACACTACGTTCAACAGGTAGAAGATGGCTTTCCAGCCCCTCCAGCCCCGGACGCTTAGGCCCATCTCCAGGCACTGAGAGAGGGGACTGTCCAACCCATTTGAGTGTCCCTCTCATAAAGAGAGACGCGCCCTAAGCGCTTCGAGTGTGGCGCCGGGAGCCGGCGGCCCGAGTCCCTCCTGGCGAAGGCCTCGATTTCCCCTCATGACGGGCGCCCGGGTCCTCCCTTGTCCTGCGGAGAAGGGAGGATGCGGCTTCCTCTGAGGAGGTGGTGCCAGAAGGTGGATTCTCCTTCCACGGCGGTTTGGGCTGTCAAGGCGCTGGGACTCGGCTAGCTCTGTGGGTCCGCTCTGGAAGCCGCGTGTGTGCGCGTGTGTGCGTGTGTGCGTGCGCGTGCTGGCTCCAGGGAGTGCCGGGTTGTCTCGTCTCTGTCTTGGCTGGGTGGGACTACGCGTGGAACGACGCCTTCCTGTTTTGTGACAGGAGGGGTTTCTCAGGGCCTCTGCCTCGGGCGCCGTTCTCGGCTACTGCTCTAAAACGCGACGGGGACGGGGCGCCAGAGCTCCCGCAAGGCGGGCGTGGGCGTGGGCGTTTACTAGAACCACATTCCTGGCTGGTGGGGGTGGAAGTCTGATCGCTCCTCCTGACTTGGTCCCCCGGAGGGTCTCTCCTTGAATTGTTTGAACCGAGCCGCTAAAGCCGCGAAAGCTTTCTTCCGGAGTTCGCACCCCGGTGGGGGGGCGGGGCCGAGGCGGGCCGCTCTGTGTCCTGTCCGCTGCGCAGAGCTGCAGGTCAAAGGAACCCCAACTAGGAATCTCAAGGTCAAACTAGGGTCCTGGGGAAAGGCCCCCACAGAGCGGGAGGCAGGGGAGGTCCAGGTCCACCTAGTGGCCCCGTGCCCCTCGGCTAAACGTTCAGGAGTTCTGACTCGTCGGTGGCGCTTGGATCTGTTTGGGGGGCGTTTTGCCCTCGGGGCACGGGGCGCACTGTTCTCAAAAGGTCTCTCTGGTTGGCCTTGGACGTGCCGCTCCCGCAGAGGCCCGTGAGCATCACAGGACGCTCGCTGGAAGACCCTGCCTCTCCGAATCACTGCCCTCCGCACCCGTGGGAGGGAGAGAGCAGCTCAGGCCAGTGTCCCTCCTACGGGAATTCCTTCTCAGTCCGGTCCTTCCACAAAAGGACGGGCTTCTTAGAGCGGCTTTTCCCTGTGAGTCAGGAGCAGGCGGGCCGGGGATGGGGGGGCGGGTAGGGAGGGAGCGGTGGAGCTGTGTGTGTCCAGACCAGGGTTGCTGCCTAAGGGTAACTGTCTTTGTCCCCATTCATCTGTCCAAAGGCCAAACAACGAGTGGATGAAAAACCCAGCTTGGGAGCTGTGAAACTGCAGGAGGCGCCCTCGGCCGCCTCCCAGATGAAGCGAACCGGAGCAATCAAGCCTCGGGCGGTCAAAGTGGAGGAGAGCAAGGCCTGAAGGTGCTTGGCCATGCCTTGCCCCCCCCCCCCCCCCCCCCCCCCCCCCCACCGCCCCCCCCCCCCCCCCCCCCCCCCCCCCCCCCCCCCCCCCCCCCCCCCCCCTTGAGGACAGGGCCACCGCTCGGCCTGGACATCTCACCAGATCCACCGTCCAACCACCTGGCCCGGACCGAGAGACCTCCCTTCTCTTCTCCACTCCTGAAAGCTCCATCGTCCAGCCGGCTTGTCCCTGTGGATATGTGACCTTGACCTGCTCGCTTTAATACGAAACAAGCAAGCAAGCAAACGACACCGTCCCCTCGTCGCCCCCACCTCCTTTCCACCGTGACTGTGGAGTGACTCCCGCCTTCGTGCAGTACGGATGATCCCGCCCCCCACCCCCCACCAGCTCCGCCGCCGTGGGCTCAGCGCCTTCTCCGGTCGCTCCCGCTCCCGGCCTTCCTGGCCCCAGGCGCGGTGGCTTGATAGCAGGGCTGTTGTAGTGGGAGGCTTTTGGATTTAAAAAGCAGCTGAAGTTTTTACAAAGGAGAAAGGAAAAGAAAAAAACACAAGCTATGTCTGCGTAGCTGAACTTTTGTACTTCCCCATCCTCCCCCTCCCCCTCTGCCCCGGTACCACCCTCGGCCCCACCCTCGGCCCCACCGGCAGTCGCTGCGCTCCCTTAACACCTGACTCCGGCATCCCCCGCGCTCCCGCAGAGACGTGGCGGGCACGCCGGGGGCAGCCGCGTGCTTGGGGCAGTGAGTGAGGCCAGGGCGGTGGGTCGGTGTCACGGTGGGGTTCTAGCCCCTGGCCTGAGGACCGCCGGAGGCTGGGGGCGGCCCAGTGAAGCCGATGATGTTTTAGCAGAGGAATTCCAGAGTTTCTGTCCCGGACTCTTCTACAGCCGGTGGACGTGCTGACCCCTGGGCGCCTGAGGTCAGCCCTGGAGATCCACAGTCACTGGCGTTTCCCAGCGTGGCCCAGCGCCTCTGCGTCTAGGGCTCCAGCACCCGGGGGCTGCCGTTTGACCCGCACGCCCTTCTCAGAGCCTTCCATCACACGCCCGCCTCTTTCTTTCCCGCGCCTGTCTCTTGTCTGGATCTTCCTGTCCCGCCACCTTTCACCCAGCTCGTCCCCTGAGACCGTGAGGCCCCTACTCACGGGGACAGGGCCGCACGGACGGTTGTGCGGGTCTGCGACAGAGGCGCGTGGCCTGGAAGGCTGAGGGGAGGGGCCCCTTCCTCTCCTCTTATTTTTTTGCTCCCACTGGCAGCCCCAGGTGGTTGGGACAGAGGCGCCTGAGCCGGGCAGTGGGTGTCCATCTCTACAGATGGCTTGGCCGGGGTCCACGGGCAGGGCAGATGGAGGGTCTGACCGTTGTTCCTCGGCGGCCTTGGGCGGCCTCTGGGTGGGGAAGAGACAGCCTCTTAAGTCTGCAGCGATGCCTCTAGCGAAATGTTTGTGTGAGCCATTTTATGCTGGGTTTTTTGTTGTTTCTTTTAAAAATAAGAACTAGAAGGAAATGGTCCCAGGTTTTGTCATTCCAGGGAGAGGGGAAGGGGAACGTCAGGTTTTGCACGCGCTCTGCAGAGCACTTGCCGCCTGCCTCGCCGAGCTGACCCCGCTGGCAGCTCCCGGGGGGACCTGGCTCAGAGGACTGGCAGTCGGTGAGTGGGGATGTGCCCCGCAGAGTCCACCGAGTGCCGCCGCAGATGTGTGACGCCCAGTGTAGGGTCGGGTAGGGCAGGGCCTTAGGAACTGCGCGTGGGCCTCTTTGTCGCTGTCCCCCGCTCTAAAGAGGGGGTGTGCCGGGCGTCTGCGGGGCTCGCCTGGAGCTTCCCGCGGTCCCCCCCCCCCGCCTCCACCGTCAGACCTCGCTTCCCAGCTGGTCACCTTCACGCCTGAATCCTTACCCTGAGGTCCCTTCTCGAACGGCCGCTCGCTTGACGAGTCGCCCTCCCCATGTGCGCACCTGCCCTCTCCCCTGCAAGCGCGTGACTGCCATCCTTGTGCCCAGCTGCCCTGCCCTCCGCTCCCCTCCGCCGCCCCCGCCCCCGCAGGAGCCACCCGTGCTTCCCGCTGCCTGTACACTTGGAAACGCCTAATTCCAGCGCTCGTACGTCAAAAGGAAAAAAGGTTTCCTCGTCTCGAAATTCAACCGAACAGTCCTGGATGCTGTGAGAAACTCAAGGTGTACCCCGCAGGCGAGCCTGCCGTCACAGTGACTGTCCTCCCTGTTTGAGAAAAAAAACAAAAACAAAAACCACGAGGTCACCTGTTCTCCAGCCCTTCTCTCCACCCCTGTATTTTCTCTCCTCCCCCTCCCCAATAAAAAGAAAACACTAGAATTTATTTATATGTATTGATGTTGTAGGTCTAGGTGAAAACCAGTAAATGTTTCACTGCTCTATTTATATATAATGTCTGAATTCTTCTGTGCAGGAAAGGCCAGGAAATTGCATGTGAAGGTCATGCGTTCACCACCTCCGTGTGCCCGAGCTGCGGTCTCTTTCCCACTAAGATGCAGATTTTAAATTGGACTCGGGGCAGAGGGCAGGCCTGAGGCCTGGCCAACGTCCCGTCCCTTCCTTGGTCGGATGAAATGCAGTTTTTAGTGCAGAGCTGTTTTAAGGTGCAATATCTCTTCCTTTCATGTGGTTTTAGAACCAAGCTCAAGGTTAAATGGGGCTTAGGGTCTTATTTTGGTTTCAAACCCTCAGCCTCAGAGCGCAAATCCATGCAGAGGCCTCTGCCCAGATGCCGTGGGGCCTTTGGGGGGAACAGGTGAAGACCAGCACTTAGCCTTTGCTGCTGCTGAGACCAGGGGGCGGGGATCAGAGTTCTCTCGCGTCCCTTTGCCTCTGCGCACATGCTGGCAGCTTGGCCCCGGCCATTGATGGTGCAGCTTGTTGCTCGGCAGCCGTGTAGTAGCGTCCGTCCAGTGTCAGCTGCTGAGCGGGGTGAGATCCCAGCACGTGCGGTTGAGTATCCCAGAGGCACACCCCCACTCAGAGCTGCTCTGCCGGTCGTATTTGGTCTGGTTCTCTTTACTGTTGCTTCCTCCCCCTTTGAATCCACATTACTGTTGTTTTCCAACCTGGAATTCATACACTTCTGGCTCTGGGTTCCTCGAGAGGGAAAACAAAGCACAGCATACGCGTTCAGAAATCGGCTGGTTGAGTTCCAACGCCGAGGTCATCCAGCCACTTCTGGGGATAGTGGGGTATTTGTTAGATACCTACCCCGGGTCTCCCAACTACGCCCTCGCCCTCCTGTCTTCAGGATCTGCCTTCTGGGTGGCTGGTGAGGTTTGTGAGTGATGCTCCGAGCCAAGGAGGCAGAGGGTGTGCATGTGGTTGCACGGCCGTGTTCAGAGATGGGCCACCGAGGCAGTGGGTGGCACACGGGTAAAGCCCCTCCCTGCTGTTCCCTTCCCTTCCACCCAGCAGCTGCGTGTTGCCCCTCGAATCTGTATTCGTCCCTTCGCACTTCGTGCAGAGCAAGCCTGGGTTAGAAGGTCTGTTGGAAATGGCCTTTCACAACCAAGGACACTACAGAGTATCCGTGCTTTGTCATGTCCCGTGATGACTGGGAAACGCAGACTTCCGGAAAGCCAGCTCGTCCTGCTTGAACATGCGAGATGGACCTAAGACGGAGCTCACCGGGGACAGAGTGGCTCAGTGTCGGGGTCCCCGACGTCGTCCACTAGCCATGCTCTCCTCGGGGACCACCAGCGCTGTATTTGGCTAGCGATCTTCCAGGCACATCTGACCTTGCTGTTCACCGTTTCCCTACCCTGGCCGAGGGGCAGTGTCCTCGGGACCCTGTCCTCAGCATGTTACGAAGCCTCGGAGTGGAAATTTCTATTCAGGCTCTGCGTGGATGACTTTCTTCCATTGTTTCAAGGGGATACTGTACTCTTAAGCTTTCGACCTCATGCCTTGCATAGTAAAAGGGTTTGGGTTTTTTGTTGTTCTTCAGAGGGTTGTATTTTTTGTTCCCTTTTGGTTTTATTTTGGCCTTTCCTCTCTTTGTCTTTTCATGTAGACCAGATATTTGAAAGGGCAGACGATGGCTAAAGGTGTAATGTGCAGCTTGTTTATACATTTTTGGGGAAGCCTTTGCCTTGGATGGGAACGGAATCCTGGATTCAGCAGGCCACTTACCTTTTGCCCTTTCCCTCCGGATCAGTACCTATTGTTTCTCCTTTCAAATATGTGATTGTACTAGCTCTTTCCATATGAAAGAATTCTCCTTATTTAAATAAAAAAAAAAAGGCCCCAAAGCTGAGTGTGCTTTCTCAGGCCGCGTGTCCCTCGATTTTCTGTCATTTGGCGAGAGAAACTGAGAGCTGGAAGGGTTGTTACAGAGTGCTTAGGAGGATTTCCGGAGTGACTTGGCTGAAATGCCTTAAAGCCAGGTCGGGGCGAGAAGGGATTGAAGCCTGTAGATGGGGTGCATCTTCCAAATGGGTCTGCGTTAGCAGTCCCCATCCTTTACCCAGGTGGGTGATATCGGGCTGTGCGGGACATCTGCCTGCCCTCTGCCCTCCCCCTGCTTCCCATGAGAAGTGGGTGGGTCAGAGGAGAAAGGATTTGTGCCCCCCCCTTTTAAAAAATATTCTTAAGTAAGCTCTATGCCCAAGGTGGGTCTTGACCTTACGACCCGGAGATCAAGAATTGTATCAGTCAGGCGCCCCTGATTTAACGTTTTGTTTCTTGGTGACCCCTTTTGCCGGGAGGAGAAAGGAGTGCTGCACCTTGGGGTAGGAAGGAGGAGTTCTCTCGGGCTGGGGGCCGTGAAGGCTAGAGAGTCCCAGCGGTGGTCCTTCTTTCTGCTGCCCCCACCACCTACCCCAGCCGCGCAGCTGCATGGCTGGGACGTGGGAAGGACACTTCGCCCCGCAGTCACGCTTTGAACTGTACCCACCTCGTGGGCCAGTGTGGATTCACAGAAATCACGGCAGTACTTAACCTAGCTGCCTGGCACCAGTTAAGAATGTAGGAAACTTACAGATTATCCCCACGTTGGACACTTTCAATGAGAAAGGATTCCTTCTGAACCTCTTGACTAGGGGGAAGAATTGGGACGTGGGCATGGGCTGTCGCAGCTCTAGCAGCCAGCAGTACCCTTCCCCTGGATTCACGGCTTCGAGAGACAGGTGGGTTAGGGGACTAGCCAGGAGCCAGTCCCCCACTCTTCCCCAGGCCCAGGGAGCCCCTGCCTCAAGCACCGTGAACTGGAGCTCCCTCCCTCTCTATACACAGCCTTGGGAGAAGCCTGTTTGTCAGAAGTAACCACCACATTGTTTTTAAAAGCTCGTTTATTTATTTTTGAGAGGCGGAGGGAGAGGATCCCAAGCAGGTTCCAAGTTGTCAGCACAGAGCCCAATGCTGGCCATGACGGGCCGAAATCAAGAGTCAGCGGCTTCACCGTCTGAGCCCGCCAGATGCCCAAACCACCACATTCTTAACCGATGTTCTCTCGTGCTGGGCTGACCAACATTGCCGGGGGGAAAGAAAAAAAACAAACCTAGCAGGCGATCAAGAACCTTGATTGTAGTTTTTAACTCTGCAGCAGCACCCTTTCCGTCCGTGATACGAAAACGCACCTACTCCAGAGGACCAGGAAGAGCGAGGCCAGGGAGAACGGTGGTGTCCCCGTCGGTTAACCGTCCGGCCCCGCCGTTCGCTGGCCAAAGGCGCTGTGTCTCCTGCAGGGCAGGCTCCTCGCGGGGAGCGGGGGCCGGAGGTGCCGGCGCCCGGGGCGTTCCGTGGGGCGCGGCGGCCGCCCTCCCGGCGCAAGGCAGACGCTCCCACGCGGGTTGCTCGCACTGAGGGGCGTGCGGATAAAGCCTTACCGTCCTGTTTTTATAAAAAGACACCGCAGCGCCCACGGGGCGCGGGGACCCCGGAACACCCACGCCGTTAAAGACATACTCCAGCGGCGGACCTCCGCGCCTGTGCGCACGCGCGCCGCCCAAGCCCATGGCGCACGCGCGCTCCTCCCGCGCACGGCTCCGCAGGCGCGGCGAGTCGAGCGCCGAGCAGGCGGTGCGTGGGCGGTGCGGCGTGCCGAGCAGCCTCGCCCCCCGGCGCGCGGCGGGAAACCCTACCGGTCGGCCCCCCACCCCACGGCGGACCCGAGGGGGGGCCCGGATGCGGGAGCGGCTTTGCGGGAACTCGACAAAACGCGAGTACGTTTGGGGCGTCAGGGCCCCGAGCCCAGTCGAGACCCGGGAGAGTCTGCGCGGGACGCGCGTACGCGGCCTGCGGGCGAGCGGGGGGCGGGGGCGGGGGCGGGGGCAGGTGCGCGCTGAAAGGCGGGCGCCCGGGCCGGTGCAGGTCTGGGAACAGGAGGGGTCCTCGGGCGACTGGAACCTTCGGGGAAGACGGAGGCGCGGCACAAGAGCAGCCTGTGGCGGGGCGGGGAATGCCCGGAAGAGCAGGAGGGGCCTCCGGGGCAGAGGGGGGGCCGCGGGAGCCCCGGTGCAGCTTTGGTGCGAGAAAGGGGGCGTCGAGCAGATGCAGCCCGGAGACAAGTGGCGCCCGAGGGAAGATGACGCCTCGGGGAGAAAACGGGGGCGCCTGGGTGCAGAGGCACCCCCAGGGTGAGAAGGGGGGCCGCCTAGGTGATGGCGCTGCGGCGGGGAGGGGCGGGGGGAGGCGCTCGCGGCAGGTGAGGAGCCTTCTGAGGCTCGGAAGGTCGAGGTCACCTCCCCAGGCGAGCGGGCTTCCGAAAGTTGGAAGTGAGCGGTGGAGTGAGTCGTTGAGTGAGTTAATACTCAGCCATGAGGCTCCCAAAGCCTCACCTTAGTTGACTGCTCGTGTCCTGATTTTCTCTCCACCACCCCACGTTGTTGTGGTTCTTCTTCTAGGTATCACCTGAGAGCCAGGGCGGTTGTGACCCTTTCTCTAGCATCCGGGAGCCTTCAGGTTTGCTGCCTATTGAGTTGATGCCGTCTCTTCCCTCGTTTTCCAGAGCGTTCTCGAGGACCCGCTTTTGCTTTTCTACAAGATGTTAGGATATTTGGAGCACCCAGTCGTGGTGACGGCGGACATCAACTTGAACGTTGTGGCTCTGACTGCGGTGGGGTTACTGAGCCGTCTGTGGCAGCTCTCCTATCCAAGGGCCGTGGTGTAAGCCAAACCACTCCGTTGGGGCTGAATCGGAAAGAATTATCATTTGTTCGTGCGCCGGGGACGGGTCATGCCTTTCTGAACAGTGGAGGTGGGGGGTGGGATGGGGGTGGAATTCTGGGCTTCTTGGTGACAGGTGCTTTTGGCAGAGGAGAGGCCGCTTTGTCCCCAGGACAGCCCCTGCTGAGTCCGTCTATCACGTCTTGCTCTCTAGTTTTCTAGCAGGTGAACCCTGACCCGCGAAACAGGTGCCGCTGCTTTAGGGAACCGTTTAAAATCAGGAGTGGAGGGGCGCCTGGGTGGCTTGGTCGGTGAAGTGTCAGACTTCAGGTCACCGTCTCTCGGTTTGTGGATTCGAGCCCTGCATCGGGCTCTGTGCTGACAGCTCAGAGCCTTTGGACTCTGTGTCTCCCTCTTTCTCTCTCTGCCCCTCCTCAGCTCACATACTCTCTCTCAAAAGTAAACATTAAAAAAAAATTTTTTTTTAAAAATCGAGGGTTGGAGGTTTGATGAATTTGGAAGTGAATCATCGTTGGCCTTAAAGCGCATCTTTTATTGTTATGGGATGCGACCGCTGTTATTTTCACAGCGCTATTCACTAGCTGGTTAATACACGTGTACTTTTTGTTGAACTTTTCGTTGTGGAAAACATTGAAGGTACACCAAAGTAGGGAGAAGAGTAGAACGACCCCCCACCAAACAGTGTACTCAGCCCCCAGCTTCCACAAGCTAGCAACTCCTAGCCATCCCTCCCGTGCAGTGGATTTGTTTTGAAGCAAGTCAGAAACAATATGATTAAGTAATTCAGTATATTTCTGAAAGATGAGGAATCTTTTAAAAAAAATTTTTTTTAATGTTTATTTATTTTTGAGAGACAGAGACAGCATGAGCAGGGGAGGGGCAGAGAGAGGGAGAGATACAGAATTAGAAGCAGTCTCCAGACTCAGATGTCGGCACAGAGCCCGACGTGGGGCTCGAACCCACAAACTGTGAGATTGTGACCTGAGCTGAAGTCGGCCACTTAACTGACTGAGCCCCCCAGGCGCCTCAAAGATGAGGAGGCTTAAAAAAACAAAAACCCTACTAACGATATCACACCTAAGAAATTCACGGCAATATTGACGGTATAGCTGAACGTCCCTCACTGGCTGAAACATTGGTCGCAGTTGGTTTCTACGTGTTTCTTTTTCTGACCTGCACCTGCTTCGCTCGGGTACCAGCTGCGATTCTGACTCTTGGTCACACACGTGCTGGCGAACCAGGGGACGCGCGCCGGGTCCTGGAGGCCTCCCAGTAGGCTGCCTGCTGGCACGTCCGCTGGTGGGAGTGAGGGCGGGTGGATAGAGCCTCTATTGTGCAGACACGCTGAGCGTGTGGCTGTTCTCGGTGGGTGTCCCCTCCTGACCTGGTGGAGGAAATAGCGCACGTGTCTCAACATTCGGGGATGTCGTGCAGTTGAGGCGAAGGCCGCGATCTCTAACGTCTGTTCCCTCTAACGTCATCCGGGAACAGACGCACGTTTACCCTCGTGCCTCTGTTGGTGAAGATTTCCGGCTGAGTATCACATGGCCTTGCTTTTCAGTTTTGACGAAGTGTATTACGGGCAGTACATCTCTTTTTACATGAAGCGGATCTTCTTTTTGGATGGCAGTGGGCCACCATTCGGCCACATGCTGCTGGCACTGGGAGGTAGGATTCTTTACTAATTTATCCCTTTTTTTTTTTTTAATGTTTTATTTCTGAGAGAGACAGAGAGGCAGCGTGAGCAGGGGAGGGTCAGAGAGAGAGGGAGACACAGAATCTGAAACAGGCTCCAGGCTCTGAGCTGTCAACACAGAGCCTGACATGGGGCTCGAACCCACAAAAGTGAGATCATGACCTGGGCCGAAGTCGGACACTTAACTGACAGAGCCACCCAGGCGCCCCTAAAATGAAACTTACAAGTGAAATTTCTTGGGGGCAAAAACCTCAGCTGATTACTTATCGTTGTTTCTCCGTTCCCCACCGTGGTTCAGCTCTCCAGGTCTGTTCGCTGAATGGAAGAGTTACCGATTAGTCTTCTGTTTCAGGTTATTTGGGAGGATTCGACGGTAACTTCTTGTGGAATAGAATCGGAGCAGGTAAACGGTCATTTTCACGCCCCTCATTGATCCGTACGTATCGGAATGGAGAGGTAGTGGCTTTCGTAGGGATTCACCAGTGTGGTTTATAATGTGCGGGGGTGTGGGAAGTTCTGTGTAAGCAGGAGCCTTCTGGAAGGTCTGATAAATGTCTTGGCGTGTAGCCATAGTAACTATTTTACCCTGAGTTTTTGGGACACAGTGTGTGTGTGGCATCGGACCGCAGTCGTTTTTTTCGGACGTGTAAATTTTCTCCACTGCAGTGTTTTTGGGAAAAGGTGAGGTGAATTTGTAAGTAAGTGAAGCACTAATTCCAGAATCATCAAGCGTCGTTTCTGTGCATAATGAGAGCCGGGTTTCCACTGTGCACGGTGCGCCTTGAAGCTTTTATGTGGAGCTTGCACACCGCCTTCCCGATATGGTCCTTAGTTCTGAAGACTTGTATTTTCGGGTCTGTGAACGAGATGCCCTGACTGAGCGCACCCGAAGGTGCGCGCGGGGCGCTCAGTGCTGTGCGGTTGCTCTTCCAGAATACAGCAGCAACGTGCCCGTGTGGTCCCTGCGCCTGCTGCCGGCGCTCACGGGGGCCCTGTCGGTCCCCATGGCCTACCAGATCCTGATGGAGCTCGGTGCTTCTCACTGGGCCGCCACGGGGGCCGCTCTGCTGATGCTGATCGGTAAGACCCTGGCCTCTGCCTGCTCTGGTGTCCCACAGGGGAGAGCAGAGGGCTGGCCTTTGGTACGGGTGGGGGGCTCCTGGGTGTAGTAGATGTGCCCCCCGGCGAGTCTCCGACTCCCAGGATGGAGGGAAGCCTGTCCGCTGTGTCCAGATTCGGCTCCGGGATTCAGACGACTCCCAGGCCGCGCGGTGGCCGGGCTGTGCCGTCACACTTGTGTGGCTATATGTGGACCCTGCTCCTGGGCGCTCCATGGTGCCGCCTCCGCCTCCAGCCACGTCTGGCCTCGGTTTATGGACACATGAAACGAAGTCAGATGGGAAGTTAGACTAGAAAATAGAACTGGGGGGCGCCTGGGGGGCTCCATCGGTTGAGCGTCCGACTTCGGCTCAGGTCAGGATCTCACAGTTTGTGAGTTTGAGCCATGAGTCAGGCTGTGAGCTGACAGCTCGGTGCCTGGAGCCGGCTTCGGGTTCTCTGACTCCCTCTCTTTCTGACCCTCCGTGGCTCACCCTGTCTCTGTCTCTCAAAAAATAAACGTTAAAATAAATAAAATAAAATAGAACTAGGGTTTGTTGCATGAGGGCCACTCTGGGGGAGGCCCTGAGCCCGTGTCCTGTCCTAATGGGGCGGTCCCACCAAGTTGGCTTTCCATGTGCAAATGAGAAAAATAAAGACTCCGAAAGGTTCAACAACTTGCCCAGGGTCACACGGGTCTTGCTGGGCGTGGCTCTGGAGCACGTGCCCGTCCAGCCCCCTGTCCTGAACTTGCCACCTCCCTGTACCGTGACATTTAGGATGCACCCTTTCCGTGGGTGCTTCGACCTTCGTGCGCCTGCCCTTTGCTGCCTCGCAGCTGACGCCCGTGTCCTCTTTGCGGCAGAGAACGCGCTCATCACTCAGTCACGGCTAATGCTTTTGGAGTCCGTGTTGATATTTTTTAACCTGCTGGCTGTGCTCTCCTACCTGAAGTTTGCCAACTGCCAGAAGCAGAGGTGCGCAAGATGCGGCGCGTCCTTCCTGGGTAACGAGGAAGAAGGGTCCGGGTGGTTTGTTGACCTGAGAACGTCTGATGCCGTTTGATATCGGGGCGCCCCTTGCTGGCTACCTTTCGTCCCCTGGACTGGCCCTTGGCTCCTTCCTGACCCCATGAATGCGTTTTCATTTTTGTGTGATTTAAAGTAACTGGAAAAATGTTCTGGCCAGAAAGAGGTTTTGCCGGGACTGGTATTTGGGAGACGAGTGTTTGGTTTTCTCGTCCTGAGGCTCAGGGACAGCCCGCCGACCCCAAGAGGTCTGAGGAAGGTGCCCTCTCTGGCCTTCGAGTGGTCTTTGGTGACCTGTCCCCAGCTTTGCTCTTTTTTTCTTTGTTTAGTGTCTGTTTGTTTTTGAGAGAAAGACAGCATGAGCCGGGGAAGGGCAGAGAGGGAGACACAGAATCTGAAGCAGGATCCAGGCTCTGAGCTGTCAGCACAGAGCCCCACACGGGGCTCGAACTCATGAACTGCAAGATCATGACCTGAGCCGAAGTTGGACGCTTTTTTTTTTTTAATGTTTTTTTTATTTATTTCTGAGAGAGAGAGAGAGAGACAGCATGAGCAGGGGAGGGTGAGAGAAAGAGGGAGACACAGAATCTGAAACAGGCCCCAGGCTCTGAGCTGTCAGCACAGAGCCTGACGCGGGGCTTGAACCCATGAACTGTGAGATCATGATCTGAGCTGAAGTCGGACGCTTGACCGACGGAGCCCCCCAGGTGTCCCCCCAGCTTCGCTCTTCCGCTTTGATCCCAGGCCCTTCTCTCTGAGCTGGTGGTTTTGGCTGATGCTGACAGGAGTGGCCTGCTCCTGCGCCGTGGGGTGAGTTTGGTCCGTGGGTCTGAGGCAGTGGCGGTGGCGACCTCCCTGTTCTGAGCCTCGTGGGAACGGCTTCTCCTTGTGTCTTTTCAGCGTCAAATACGTGGGTGTTTTCACATACCTGCTCGTGCTCGCTGTCGCCGGCGTCCACGCCTGGCATCTGATAGGAGACCGGACGCTCTCAAACGTGGGTGCTGCAGTGGAGCGGGGCTGGCGGCTGTCTTGGGGCGGGCGGGGGGCTGTGACCGGCGCGGCTGGCGAGAAAGGCTTCTCGGGAGGACAGGCGTCCGTGAGCCCCCCACGGGCAGCCGGGTGCAGCCCAGGGCCTTGCTGCCGGCCCGCTTGGAGCCGGCGTGCCTTTCCACACGGCGGGACGTGACTCCGCTCCGTCCCGCGGCAGGTCTGCGTGCTCGGTCACGTGCTTGCCCGCGCGGCAGCTCTGCTGGTCGTCCCGGCCGCCATGTACTTGCTGTTCTTCTACGTCCACCTGAGTCTGGTCTACCGCTCCGGGCCCCACGATCAGATCATGTCCAGTGCCTTCCAGGCCAGCCTGGAGGTAAGATGGGGTGCGGCGGCCACCTTAGAGGACAGGGACGGGGGGCCTGGGGGGCTCTGTCGGTGAAGCGTCCGACTTCGGTTCAGGTCATGATCTCACGGTTTGTGGGTTCGAGCCCCGCGTCGGGCTCTATGCTGACAGCTTGGAGCCCGGAGCTGCTTCGGATTTTGTGGCTCCCCCTCTCTCTCTGCCCCTTTCCTGTTCACGCACTGTTTCTCTTAAAAATAAATAAAACGTGAAAGAAAGAGGACAGGGGTAGACTCAAAGTTTTCTCACACAAACGTCGAATGTTTGGGGGGAAACCAAGTCAAGAGGAATCCGCTTTGGTATTTCTAAGTTAACCCTGCACGTGCTGATGGTGCGTTAATGCGCGAAGGGGCTTCCCAGTGTGACCTGCCCCAGGACATCGCGACGTCCTGCCACCTCCCGGCAGCTGCAGGAGCTTCCGAGGACGAGGGCGACTCTGGCGTCCGTGCACGCTGACTTTGCAGCGATGGTGGCGCGTGCAGGCGAGGTGGTGAGGACCAGACTCGGGTCAGACGGGCCCGTCCCCGAGTGTGGTCCGGGTGTCGGGGCGGGCCTCTCCGCCCACCTGGCTCCTACTTTACTCACCTTTTCAGTGGACAGGGTTGCCCTTCTCTGAAGAGGTCGGTGAGAGGTGGCCCCAGAGGCCACCTGTGTTAGCGGTTGCATAGGGGCCATGTTACAGTGAGGTCCCGTCATCACAGTTACGGGACATGTTAAGGATCGCCCCCCTGCCCCCATTGGAGGTGTGGCCGTCAAAGAGGCTGGTGAGATCTGTCACTCACACACACACACACACACACACACACACACACACCCTCACACACCCTCCCCCTCCCCCCCCCGCCCCCGCTTTCTCACTTGCCACCGTTTCACTTTTGTCTTAGGGAGGGCTGGCTCGGATCACGCAAGGCCAGCCCCTGGAGGTGGCCTACGGTTCCCAGGTCACTCTGAAGAACGTCTTCGGCAAACCCGTGCCCTGCTGGCTTCATTCCCACCAGAGCACCTACCCCATGATGTAAGGAAAGGGCCGAACGCTGGAATGTGTTTGGTGTGTTTCGCGCTTTGTCTGTTACCAGCTTTCGCTGTAAATGAAATTTACGAGGGGCACCTGGGTGGTTCATTGGTGAAGCCTCTGACTCTTGATCTCCGTTCCCATCTTGATTTCAAGGTCATGAGTTCAAGCCTCACGTTGAACAGTGTGGAGCCTATTTAAACTTTTTTTTTTTTAAATGTTTTATTTATTTCTGAGAGAGAGACAGCATGAGCAGGGGAGGGGCAGAGAGGGGGAGACACAGAATCTGAAGCAGGCTCCAGGCTCTGAGCTGTCAGCACAGAGCCCGACGTGGGGCTCAAAGCCACAAGCTATGAGATCATGACCTGAGCTGAAGTCGGACACTTAACTGACGAGGCCACCCAGGTGCTCCGTGTGGAGCCTATTTAAAAAGGAGAGAAAAAAAAGAAATTTATGAGACACAAAGACTCTGGGGTTTAAGATTCTGATGGTCAATGATTCTTGTCATTTCTGTGTATAACACAGAGGGACACAGGGAGCAGAGGCTCGGGCCCTCCCGTGTCTGCTGCGCGGCCTCCTGCCCGAGCGCCACTTAGGTTCACTTCTGCCAGCCCCTCTTAGACTTACACGCTTGTACTCGTGGTCCCCCCCCCCCCCACGCCCTGCTACATGACATTCGCAGGGACCTCGACAGGCAGACGCGTCTCTGTGTTGGTTCCCTCACAGATACGAGAACGGCCGAGGCAGCTCGCACCAGCAGCAGGTGACCTGTTACCCCTTCAAAGATGTGAACAACTGGTGGATTGTAAAGGACCCCGGGAGGTGCGTGCGGGCCCTGGGGCTCAGGGGCAGGGCTGGGCTCTCAGCCCCCTCCCCGTGTGCACCTCCTCCCTCGAAGCTCCGAGAGCTGCTCTCTGTGCTGATGAGCCACGGTCGGGGTGGGGAGGGGGGTTGATCCTTCTTTAGTGAACTGGCGTCTGGCTCTTGGACCGCATGCGCGGCGCCCACCTGATGGTCTGTAGTACGCTTGCATCGAGCGCTTGCCGGACAACACGGTCCATCTGTTCGAGCGATTTCTGGGTGGGCGTGTTTGTCACTCTGCCATTTGTAGAGAAATACAAAATGCCAGAACGTGGTAACGGCCAGCCGGGTCACGATAGGAAGCTTGGAGAGTGGCCCGAGGTGTCAGAGAAGAGTTACGTAAACTTCTGTGTTTCCTTTTTTAAGAATTTCCCTCCAGTAAGGTACGAATTGCTGGGGCGGCTGCACAGTTGCAAAGTGTCCCTCACCCACCATGGGAGAACGCGGAGCCCTTGCCGCTCCGGGGGCGCGGTGGTTTTGCCGGGGCCCCCCCGAGCTCCCTCCCAGCCACCCTCCTGTCCCCGCAGGCATCAGCTGGTGGTGAACAACCCCCCAAGGCCCGTGCGGCACGGAGACGTGGTGCAGCTGGTGCACGGCATGACCACACGCTTCCTCAACACGTGAGTGCGCGCTGCCCTCCCCACCCCCCCCCGGCTCCCCTCGGGTTCTCCGCCCAGCAAAGCCGTGTCTTCCTCCCTCGGGTGGCCCCGCATCGCAGCCTGCACTCGGTGGGCGGGAAGGAGCACTGGGAGCCCGGGAGGCCCCGGAGCTGTGGAAGACAAGTTTAGGGCGAGCATGGGAGTGCTCCCCACACAGAATGAAGTAAAGTCCAGTCACTTGAAGCGTACGTGAATTCAAAAGGGATTGAAACGCGGGCTGGGAAAGGTCCTTACGTGCGAGTTCTCAGCCCTGACCTGCGCTAGCTGCATATCGGCGTGCCCGGGCCACGTCTCTTCCTCCATCCGGTTTCTGGGGTGCTCTCACGGCTCTCCGTGACTCACAAATTGTGCCTCAGGTCCCGGTCTGCCCCGCGCAGGCCACACCACAGACCTTGGCTTCGGGGCACAGCAGGCTCTCAGCATCTGGCCGGCTTCTCCCTGGAAAGAGCCGGTTGCTCAGCTGCTGCCCTGGGGCCTACTCCCTCTTCCCCTCCGCACCTCAGATAAGACCACTTCCTTCCGGTCCTTGCTGAGGCCCAGGCCCGGCCTGATCCCTGTGCTAGTGCGGCCAGTGCCACCCCCCCTCCCCACCCAGTGTCTGCTGCCCTGGCTTCTCTGCCAGAAGTGCTCCTGCAGGTTCCACAGGGTGGCCCTCAGGATAACGTCCCCACTTCTCCTGGCTGCAGGCCCCCTGGGATCTGCCCCTGGCGACCTCCCCAGGGACCTTCCCTGCAGTCACCCTGGCCTCTGCTGTCCCCACATGGCCAAGTGCTACGCTCCTGGGGCCTTTACACTTGCTCTGTCTGCCTGGGAAGTTCTTGGATTCACACCCCCGTGGCGCAGTTGCTGTGTCCGCGTGCCCACAGAAACGTTACCTCCTCAGAGCATTACCGGGCATGTTCGCTGCTACTTTGGTTTTATTGGTGGCGCCCCACAGCCTGGCGCTGTCTCCGTGTGTGTGAAGAGCTGCTTTCCGCAGGGTGCAGGGCGGTCTCTGCTCCCTGCTCCATAGCGCCCACGCACAGTAGGACCCCGTGAGCAAGGGCGGGGGATGTTTCTGCACGTTTGAGGTCACTGTCACCGAGGGCACCTTGTCCCCCGACGCTGCTCTTGGTGGCCCCGCCCTTTCCAAGGCCTTGGCGGTCAGGGAGCTGCCGCACCATGTTGTCGTGGCTCTGGGGTCGTGGGCACTTGTCTGTCAGGCCCCGCGCCGCGTGTCCTTTCCCCTGAGGTGTGACCGTGGCAAGCAGCCGCCTCTTCCGTGTCGCATCTGTCGGCAAGCCCTTTGCTGGTGCGTCCCCGGGGACCTGGTGCTCCTCCAGGCTGAGCTGGCTTGTTTCCGAAAGTCGCTCGTTTTCCTCGAAAACCCAGTGAAAGCTCTGCCAGGGCAGCCTGAGGGACTCCCTCCATGGGACTGTTTGCTCCTCCAGGCACGACGTCGCGGCGCCCCTGAGCCCCCACTCGCAGGAGGTGTCCTGCTACATCGACTACAACATCTCCATGCCCTCCCAGAACCTCTGGAGACTGGTGAGTCCCCCCTGGAAGCGGGCCGTGCCGGCCGGCAGTGCCGCATGTGTTCCGGCGGGACCGTTCGGGAGCGCCGTCTAGCACGGCTCTGGTGCAGGGCCACCGGCTGGCTCCCTCGGTGGAGCGGGTGACTCTTGATCTCGGGGTCCGGAGTTTGAGCCCCATGTTGGGTGTAGAGGTCACTTTAAAAGGTTTAGGGGCGCCTGGGTGGCTACGTGGATTGGGCATCCAGCTCTGGATTTTAGCTCAGGTCGCGATCCTAGAGTCAGGGGATCAAGCCCCACCTTGGGCTTCGTGCTGAGCCTGAAGTCTGCTTAAGATTCGTCCCAACCTTGTTCTCTCAAATAAAATAATAAAATATTACAAAAAAAAAGGAAGAAACCATTGTGATTCAGCTGTAACGTTAGTGACTTTCAGTCATGAAGTCACAGATGTTTTCCCAGGGAACAGGGTCCTTCTGGGGTGGAGACGGGGCCGTGGAACGGTGCCTGTGTGGCCCCCGTGGGCCTGTCAGGCAAAGGTTCCCTCTGATCTGGTTGCTTGTTCAGCTTCGAGGTCACTGAACACACAGGGTCGGGGGCCCCCAGCCCCCTCCCTTGACCAGGGGAGCCTGATGCTGACCAGCGCCCTCCGTACCGTCTCCCCGGCACGGCTGGGCCCTCTGTCAGGTGGTTCCTTGGGCGGCCCTTCCCTGAGGCCACCGGCGCTGTGCTGGCCCCTCCTCGGAGCCTCCCGGGGGCCACGCGCCCCCATGGAGTCGCCCTCCAGGGCTGCACGCCCTATCCGGGTGGGAGGGAAGTTCCGTTTGCTGGGTCCTTGAGCCCACAGTTCAAACCGTGTCTCTCCCGTTTGCTTCTCCGTGTGCAAGTGCCCGCCTGCCGGCTGCTTGCCCACCCCTCCCCCGGCGTCCCTGCTGCTGGACACGCTCGCTGCCCCCCAGCCTGCGGTCTCTGCTGAGGGTCCCCCCCCCCCGCCCTTTCTGCTGTCCTGCGGCTGATAACCAATTGCTGAGCCTTTTCTCCCTCCTCCCTCCCTCTCCCCTCCTCTCCCCTCCTCTCCCCTCCCCTCCTCTCC